CACATCTCAACATCAACTGTCCAGAGGAGACTGTGTGAAATCAGGCCTTCATGGTCGAATTTCTGCAAAGAAACCACTACTAAAGGACAGCAATAAGAAGAAGAGACTTGCTTGGTGCCAAGAAACACGAGCAGACCGGTGGAAATGTGTCCTTTGGTCTGGAGTTCAAATTGGAGGTTTTGGTTCCAACCGCTGTGTCTTTGTGTGTGATACTCTGGCTCCATGGACTTTGATTATTTGAGCCAGGGTTGTTCACTTTCATTGTTTGGGTGTATTTCTATGTTGGGTATTCTAGTTGTTCATTTCTATGTTTGGGTATTGTTCTTGATTAGTCATATGACTCCCAATCGGAGGTAACGAGTGTCAGCTGTCGGCTCGTTATCTCTGATTGGGAGCCATATTTAAACTGTGTGGTTTCTCCTTGGTTTGTGGGTTTTTGTTCCATGTTTCTGTCAGTGTTACAGAGGACTTCACTATCGTCATTTGTTGTTTTTCGTGGTTGCTTTATTAAATAAAGTCATCATGTTCACTCCACGCGCTGCGTATTGGTCCGCTTCTTCAGACGATCGTGACAGAAAAACCCACCATCAAAGGACCAAGCAGCGTGTCAAGCGGCAACAGGACCCAGCTCCAAAGGCTTCCTGGACATGGGAGGAGATTTTGGACGGAAAGGGGTCCTGGACTTGGGAGGAGATCCTGGATGGGATGGATCGCCGTCCATGGAGCGAGACGGTGGAGAGGCGACGGCGAGAGGAGCAACGGCGTCAGCAGGGCCATCGTCGGAAGGACGAGAGGCAACCCCAAAAAGTTTTTGGGGGGGGGGCACATGGCTTGGGCGGCTGGGCAGCAGGAGGCTGCCACAGGGCTGACGGAGGCAGAGAAGGGGCGAATTCAGGAGGCAACCAGGTTACGGGGGTCACTGGCCAAAGTAGGGAAAGGAGATGTAGGGGCACGGCGAGTGGTACTGGGGTGTATTACCAGTCCGGTCCGGCCCGTTCCAGTTCCCGGGGTAGAGCCAGTGGTGTGTGCCTCCAGTACGGTCCGGCCTGTTACGACCCCTCGCACCAAGGATACGGTGCGCTTCGCCAGCCCGGCCCGGCCTGTTCCGGCCACTCGCACTAGGGATACGGTGCGCTTCGCCAGCCCAGCCCGGCCTGTTCCGGCCACTCGCACCAGGGATACGGTGCGCTTCGCCAGCCCGGCCCGGCCTGTTCCGGCCACTCGCACCAGGGATACGGTGCGCGTCGCCAGCCCTTTCCCACCAGTGCCTACACCACGCCCCAAGCCTCCTGTGTGTCTCCCGAGTCCTGTGCGTCCTGTTGCTGCTCTCCGCACTAGGCTTAATGTGAGTCCCCAGGGTCCAGCATGCCCTGTTCCGGCTCTCCGCACTAGCCCTTATGTGCGTTCCCAGGGTCCAGCATGCCCTGTTGCTTCTCCCCGCACTAGCCCTGAGATGCGTGTCCTCAGCCCGGTACCTCCAGTTCCGGCACCACGCATCAGGCCTACGGTGCGTCCCCAGGGCCAAGCATGCCCTGTTGCTGCTTCCCGCACTAGCCCTGAGATGCGTTGTCCTCAGCCCGGTACCTCCAGTTCCGGCAACCACGCATCAGGCCTACGGTGCGTCCCCAGGGTCCAGCATGCCCTGTTGCTTCTCCCCGCACTAGCCCTGAGATGCGTGTCCTCAGCCCGGTACCTCCTGTTCCGGCACCACGCACCAGGCCTACGATGCGCCTCAGACGGCCAGAGTCTGCCGTCTGCCCAACGGGGCCTGAACTGTCCGTCTGCCCAGCGCCGTCTGAACTGCCCGTCTGCCCAACGCCGTCTGAACTGTCCGTCTGCCAAGCGCCGCAGGAACTGCCCGTCTGTACTGAGCCTGCAAAGCCGCCCGTCTGCCATGAGCCTTCAGAGCCGTCCGCCAGACCGGAGCCGCTAGAGCTCTCCGCCAGACAGGAGCAGCCAGAGCCTTCCGCCAGACAGGATCAGCCAGAGCCTTCCGCCAGACAGGAGCAGCCAGAGCCTTCCGCCAGACAGGATCAGCCAGAGCCTTCCGCCAGACAGGATCAGCCAGAGCCTTCCGCCAGACAGGATCAGCCAGAGCCTTCCGCCAGACCACGACCTGGGCCAGAGCCGCCACCATGGACAGACGCCCACCCAGACCCTCCCCTAGACTGTAGGCTGGTGCGCCCGGAGTTCGCACCTTTAGGGGGGGGTACTGTGATACTCTGGCTCCATGGACTTTGATTATTTGAGCCAGGGTTGTTCACTTTCATTGTTTGGGTGTATTTCTATGTTGGGTATTCTAGTTGTTCATTTCTATGTTTGGGTATTGTTCTTGATTAGTCATATGACTCCCAATCGGAGGTAACGAGTGTCAGCTGTCGGCTCGTTATCTCTGATTGGGAGCCATATTTAAACTGTGTGGTTTCTCCTTGGTTTGTGGGTTTTTGTTCCATGTTTCTGTCAGTGTTACAGAGGACTTCACTATCGTCATTTGTTGTTTTTCGTGGTTGCTTTATTAAATAAAGTCATCATGTTCACTCCACGCGCTGCGTATTGGTCCGCTTCTTCAGACGATCGTGACATTGTGAGACGCGGTGTGGGTGAACGGATGATCTCTGCATGTGTATTTACCACCGTAAAGCATGGAGGAGGTGTTATGGTGTGGGGGCGCTTTGCTGGTGACACTGATTTATTTAGAATTCAAGGCACACTTAACCAGCATTGCTACCACAGTATTCTGCAGCGATACGCCATCCCATCTGGTTTGGGCTTAGTGGGACAATCATTCGTTTTACAACAGGACAATGACCCAACACACCTCCAGGCTGTGTAAGGGCTATTTTACCAAGAAGGAGAGTGATGGAGTGCTGCATCAGATGACCTGGCCTCCACAATCCCCCAACCTCAACCAAATTGAGATGGTTTGGGATGAGTCGGACCGTAGAGTGAAGGAAAAGCAGCCAACAAGTGCTCAGCATATGTGGGAACTCCTTCAAGGCTGTTGGAAAAGTATTCCAGGTGAAGCTGGTTGAGAGAATGCCAAGAGTGTGCAACGCTGTCATCAAGGCAAAGTGTGGCAATTTGAAGAATCTATATATTCGGATTTGTTTAACAATTCTGTGGTTACTACATGATTCCATGTGTGTTATTTCATAGTTTTGATGTCTTCACTATTATTCTACAATGTAGAAAATAGTAAAAATAAAGAAAAACCCTTGAATGAGTAAGTGTTCTAAAACTTTTGACCGGTAGTGTATATTAACAGTTCAACCACATAAAGAAAACAAGATGGGGAAAATTGCAGACAGATGAGATGAGTTAGGTAGGCTATAGTACTACCGCAGTGAACATTTCCATAAGATGGAAGACAGACTTGAGATGCACGCCACACCGCAATCAGTTTATGATCTCAAGTCGTGTCTATGGTCAAAAATGGGTTGCCATGTGTACAGGAGAGAAAAAAAGAGATTAAAAAGACTACAAAAGTGACTTGGTGACAGCTCCCATTATATTCACACTCATGTCTCTACAGAAAACCCTACAACTGGCCTTGGCTCCTCGGACTACACAGGTCTGACTATACAATGCTTGCCAATGTTTGGAAGTTATTTGTTCTCCAACAAACTTATTTCACCACTACTGAGATATAATGGTCAGAGCGTCTTAGAACACAAACCCAGGGCACACAACCATTCCTATACTGTACAATTTATTGTGGTCAGTGGACCGACTGACCAAAAAGTTACCATTTAACCATAGATATGATGTCGACCAAAATGGTATTGGGATCCACAATGTTGAAGTGGATAAGGGGGAGTGCTTCACAGGTCTTTACCAAACTATCAATCTCTTTTTCTGCTTCTTCGTTCTACAACAAACTCTGTCACTTTATCATATGTAATAAGCCCTTGAGTCGAGAACACCCAAATAACCTCCCTCCCCCCAAAAACACAATTGAAGGGCTGTATGCCAAATGGCACCCTATTCCCTATAGGCCCTGGTCAAAAGTAGTGCACTATAAAAGGAATAGGGTGCCATTTGGGACGCAGTAATGACTTGCCCGCTGACACCAGAGGTTTATTCAGGGGAGAGCAATGTTACAGAATGTACAGATAATCATGCATTGTGTATCGAAGAATCACAATTCTAGTATGACTATCTATACATTAAATTTCTATCTGCGACGTTCTAAAGCGCTGTACCCCATTCTATAAGCTAATCTATCATTCTAAAAAGGTTTCTTAACCCAAACGCCCCTATGGCAATACTGGCCCGAGTAATGTCCATACAGAGGTATTTCATTGGTCTCTGCCAAAAATGGGAGACTTGGGTCACATTATTGACGTGGTAAATACACAGAGGGAAGAAGCCATGAGTTCATTAACATCTTTCGTTTTGTCAAAAAAGTGTCCAATATGACTTAGGAGTGCCGAGTGGTGCGGCTGTTCCTTCTCCTAAGCAGTACTGGTTACGGAGGCCCTTGAAGACAATATGAAAAGAGAGAGAGAGAGGAACTGTGATGAGACCAGAGGACCTGAGAGAGCTGCCTGGATACGGATGGGTTGAGGTGACTCGACGACGAGACGCGAGCCACTTGGTGGGTTGCTTTCCACCTGGGATCCGACGCCATTTTGCGGTGGCTGGTTTAGCTTAGCTAGGTGCCGTTTTCAGATCGAGTGTGTGTGTGTGTGTATATGAGTGTGTGTATGAGTGTGTGTGTATATGAGTGTGTGTGTATGAGTGTGTGTCTGAGTGTGTGTGTGTGTTTGAGAAAGAGAGAATGAATGATTGTATGCAAGTCTATGCATGTAGGAGTGTGTGTGTGTATGTATGTATGTATGTGTGTGTATGTGTGTGTATGAGTTTGTGTGTGTGTTTGTTTGAGAGAGAACATGAATGATTGTATGTATGTTTATGTATCACTGCCTTTATTTCCTACAAGCTAGTGGTCTGGTGCTGGTGATAGTTGTTGGCTGTGGGTCGGAGCAGGCTGGCTGGGTCTAGATTAAGGCAGCCATGTCCATAAGCACCATGTTGGGGTCCAGGCTGTCTGTCTGGTTCTGGTTTAAGGCAGCCGTGTCCATAAGCACCATGTTGGGGTCCAGGCTGTCTGTCTGGTTCTGGTTTAAGGCAGCCGTGTCCATAAGCACCATGTTGGGGTCCAGGCTGGCAAAGAAGCGTACGTCTCGGTCCTTGTCCGCCTGCAGGGCCATCACCGTCTCCTCCAGCTCGTCTAAGTAGGCACTGCCCGGCTCTTTGAAGTACGCTGAAAGTACAAGTCAAGTCAGCATTTATAGTGGGGGAAAAAAGTATTTAGTCAGCCACCAATTGTGCATGTTCTCCCACTTAAAAAGATGAGAGAGGCCTGTAATTTTCATCATAGGTACACGTCAACTATGACAGACAAATTGAGAGAAAACAAATCCAGAAAATCACATTGTAGGATTTTTAATGAATTTATTTGCAAATTATGGTGGAAAATAAGTATTTGGTCACCTAAAAACAAGTAGGATTTCTGGCTCTCACAGACCTGTAACTTCTTCTTTAAGATGCCCCTCTGTCCTCCACTCGTTACCTGTATTAATGGCACCTGTTTGAACTTGTTATCAGTATAAAAGACACCTGTCCACAACCTCAAACAGTCACACTCCAAACTCCACTATGGCCAAGACCAAAGAGCTGTCAAAGGACACCAGAAACAAAATTGTAGACCTGCACCAGGCTGGGAAGACTGAATCTGCAATAGGTAAGCAGCTTGGTTTGAAGAAATCAACTGTGGGAGCAATTATTAGGAAATGGAAGACATACAAGACCACTGATAATCTCCCTCGATCTGGGGCTCCACGCAAGATCTCACCCCGTGGGATCAAAATGATCACAAGAACGGTGAGCAAAAATCCCAGAACCACACGGGGGGACCTAGTGAATGACCTGCAGAGAGCTGGGACCAAAGTAACAAAGCCTATCATCAGTAACACACTACGCCGCCAGGGACTCAAATCCTGCAGTGCCAGACGTGTCCCCCTACTTAAGCCAGTACATGTCCAGGCCCGTCTGAAGTTTGCTAGAGTGCATTTGGATGATCCAGAAGAGGATTGGGAGAATGTCATATGGTCAGATGAAACCAAAATATAACTTTTTGGTAAAAACTCAACTCGTCGTGTTTGGAGGACAAAGAATGCTGAGTTGCATCCAAAGAACAGCATACCTACTGTGAAGCATGGGGGTGGAAACATCATGCTTTGGGGCTGTTTTTCTGCAAAGGGACCAGGACGACTGATCCATGTAAAGGAAAGAATGAATGGGGCCATGTATCGTGAGATTTTGAGTGAAAACCTCCTTCCATTAGCAAGGGCATTGAAGATGAAACGTGGCTGGGTCTTTCAGCATGACAATGATCCCAAACACACCGCCCGGGCAACGAAGGAGTGGCTTCGTAAGAAGCATTTCAAGGTCCTGGAGTGGCCTAGCCAGTCTCCAGATCTCAACCCCATAGAAAATCTTTGGAGGGAGTTGAAAGTCTGTGTTGCCCAGCGACAGCCCCAAAACATCACTGCTCTAGAGGATATCTGCATGGAGGAATGGGCCAAAATACCAGCAACAGTGTGTGAAAACCTTGTGAAGACTTACAGAAAACATTTGACCTGTGTCATTGCCAACAAAGGGTATATAACAAAGTATTGAGAAACTTTTGTTATTGACCAAATACTTATTTTCCACCATAATTTGCAAATAAATTCATTAAAAATCCTACAATGTGATATTCTGGAATTTTTGTCTGTCATAGTTGACGTGTACCTATGATGAAAATTACAGGCCTCTCTCATCTTTTTAAGTGGGAGAACTTGCACAATTGGTGGCTGACTAAATACTTTTTTCCCCCACTGTATTTAAAGTGCATTTTACATGGGTCACAACCATAGAAATATAATTACTAGAATGGGTGTCCCAATTCAAGTCAATGAGGCCCTAATGGGTGGACCGGTGGGCAGTACTTAACATAATTAAATATAAGAATGTAGGAAACTGGGGAAATATGGAGAACAATGAAGAATAGAGGGAAAACATTAACAACAAAATGAAGGGAGAAAATAGTCCACAGAAGAGAGAGGGAATACAATATTCTAAGTGGTATGCTCGTTTGGATATTGGAACATACCGCATAACACATTTGGGAGGAGCAAAAACAACACCATGCCATGAGAGAGAAAATCAGTTGGAACTGGGAAAGGCTACAGTTCGCTCTAACTGCTGTCATTCACTGTTTCATCAGTGGCCAATTCAACACTCTTTCCACAAAGAAGTTGGTCTAGCAATAGCTTGAATGTGTACTACATCAGTTTTTACATTGCTGATGCATTTCAAAAGACCCCTTCAGAGGAAGTTGCCACCCCTATTTCGATCATTCTAGTAATAGAGCGGAAATGCTTGTTACGGTTCCACCTCTGAAGAATGATGGGAGTCTACTTATACATATTCACGAATCTGGGGTGGGAAGGTACGTTGTGGGGATTTCCACGTGGAGAAACAACAAATAGGGCACTGACAGCTGTCAGTCTAGCTTGCTAGAATGCTAAGCTTATCTAGCTAGCTAGCTAGCTAGCTAGCAAGCATGCTAAGCTTTTCTAGCTAACCTTATCTACCTAGCTAGATTGCATGCTAACCTTATCTACCTAGCTAATGTTATCTGTTGTTATACACCGTATTCAAAAGATTAGCCAGCTGGCTAGGCTATGGCTGGATCTGAATTTGCTAAATGCAATCATATCACGCATTTATACAATAGCAAAAAAAAAAAAAAAAAAAGACAAATTATCCAATGGATTATGATCACTTTAAATATAGGCCTCAGCTCGAGACGTCTTGTTTTCCTCCGGGTGTTATCCTTGTGACAGCGTGGCTGGAGTTATGTCTTCTGGGGTGCGTTGGAAAATGTAAGCTGTTACTTGTTCCTACAGTTGGTACTATTGAATGTGTACTAGAGCAGCTATGCTACATTTAGTTCCTCCCTCCTGCTATTACTATGCTATAACCAATATTATGGTCGGCAATAATTAGTGACTATTTACAAACTCCTATTTATTATTATTTCATACCATCTATTGTTCTCATTGTATTACTGTGTGATACCATTCAGCATATACAGTTTGATACAGTCCTCCCTCTTGTTGCTAATGTTGTGTAGTGCTCTTGTTGTATACCTGTATATAGTCCCGTATAGCTCAGTTGGTAGAAAATGGCGCTTGCAACGCCAGGGTTGTGGGTTCGATTCCCACGGGGGACCAGTACGAAAAAAAGTATGAAAATGTATGCACTCACTAACTGTATGTCGTTCTGGATAAGAGCGTCTGATAAATTACTGTAATGAGGAAGATAATGTATTTTCAGTGTTCAGTGTTTGACAACAGCTGATAATAAGATACATGTAAATGTACCTCTGAGACCATTCAGCCTTTATGTTTTATAATCATGTACAGTGTTTTACTTATCTATTGATATTGCTCTATTCAATATAATTCATCCATGCACAGTAGTTATGCTCTTCTCCTGCTATTTATTCATTTAATGTGTATTGTATCATATCTCTATTTCTGTTTCTGTTCTGTTTTAGACCATTCAATGAAGTCCTCTGTTTGGAACACTTTGGAGGTTGCCTCGTCTCACTAATAGGAGATAGTTGTCAATAAGCCACAGACCTGCTTATTCTGGAGGGTCCTCCCTCACAACACTATTTTCATTTGCTTTCATGGCTCAGGACGCAAGGCTGTTTGGCTCAGCTCATTTGCGAAGAGGAAGAACTTGGCAGCTGTTTCTGATTAATAAACAATGCCATGCTGGTGGGTGGTAACATTCAAATAAAATCCAGCCCTGAAAATAAATGTAGTTTGAAAAATAATTCGTACGTTATCTCATTGGAAAATACGGATTTCCACGAATGTCCCACTTCAAGGCCAAATATATCACTTTGACTAAAATGATGATGACCTATTGACATAAATTGTTGTACAACATCATGGGTAAGCTCTGGCCATCATCTTTCAGCTGGAAAAAGTGGATTTACTGGTGTGGGCGTTTAAATGTGCGAGACATGTTCCCTCTCGAAGGCTAATTAAGTTCTATTCCATTCTTGACTTTATCAATAGCATAAAGCATCTACATGCATTATAATAATAATAATAATAATAATAATAATAATAATAATATGCCATTTAGCAGACGCTTTTATCCAAAGCGACTTACAGTCATGCGTGCATACATTTTTGTGTATGGCATTAAATATGTTATTTTTGTTCATATTCTTGGGTAGATAGAGGGCCCAGTCTTTACCTTTCTCCATGACACTCTGCCGCAGTGCTTTGGCCACCAGCACGCGGACGTTGGCCACAGGGTCCAACGACAGGCTGAGGAGACTTGGGAGGAGGTGCTGGGCAAACTGGTCCATGGGCATACAGTCCTCCTCCACGATGGCCTGGGGAACACAGTGAAGAGAGTTAATAGAAAAACTGATTTAGATAGAAAGACAGACAGATGACAGATGGAGAGCAGGGTCGTGTTCATTAGGGAATGCAACAGATTATTTTTTTATTACAACGGAAAACTAAAGTTTACATTTCTTATTGGTTTCCCTTCCGTTTGGTGCCTAATGAACATGACCAAGCAGTCAGACATACAATTCTCACACCCGCCTTCTTTCAGAATAGTGCTATGGCAAGTATGGCTGATGCAATTTCACACTAAAACATTTTCTGAAGTTAGCAACTATTGGGATTAATGTTTATAAGGATTTATTTTCATAATACTATGTGTATCCTGACCTGGCAAATGAAGGCAAAGGCCTGGCGGCCCACCCATTTTGGACAGTGGCAGAAGCGGACGATGAGCTCGTTGATGAAGTTCAGGCCCAGCTCGTGGGCTCCGCACGCATACATCTTCTGTAAGATCTCCACCACCTGGGACAGACGAGATGATATTTGATGATATTTCCACAATATGAGGTCAAAATAACACTTTGAAATTGTGTATGAGCCGTTTGAAGAAAATGCCTTGAATTTCAGCCTGTTCAGGTGGGATGGAACTTGACGTCACAATGTGATGTGATTATAATAAACCAATGACTGTTCATCTGGGTAAGGGGGTGGGTTCTGTGTATGTAAATACAATTCATTACCAAAAGTATGTGGACACCTACTCGTCAAACATCTCATTCCAAAATCATGGACATTAATATGGAGTTGGTCCCCCGTTTGCTGCTATAACAGCCTCCACTCTTCTGGGAAGGCTTTCCACTAGATGTTGGAATATTGCTGCTGGGACTTGCTTTCATTCATTGTCATGCTGAAACAGGAAAGGGCCTAACACCAAACTGTTGTCACAAAGTTGGAAGCACAGAATCGTCTAGAATGTCATTGTATGCTGTAGCGTTAAGATTTCCCTTCACTGGAACTAAGGGGCCTAGCCCGAACCATGAAAAACAGCCCCAGAACATTTTATCTAAGCCACCAAACTTTACAGTTGGCACTATGCATTCGGGCAGGTAGCGTTCTCCTGGCATCCGCTAAACCCAGATTTGTCCGTCGGACTGCCAGATGGTGAAGTGTGATTCATCACTCCAGAGAAGGCGTTTCCACTGTTCCAGAGTCCAATGGCGGCGACCTTTACACCATTTCAGCCGACTCTTGGCATTGCGCATGGTGATCTTAGGCTTGTGTGCAGCTACTCGGCCATGGAAACCCATTTCATGAAGCTCCCGATGAACAGTTATTGTGCGTTCTTTGCTTCCAGAGGCAGTTTGGAACTCAGTAGTGAGTGTTGCAACCGAGGACAGACGATTTTTACGCGCTACGCGCTTCAGCACTCGGCGGTCCCGTTCTATGAGCTTGTGTGGCATACCACTTCGCGGCTGAGCTGTTGTTGCTCCTAGACATTTCCACTTCACAATAACAGCACTTACAGTTGACCGGGACAAACTGACTTGTTAGAAAGGTGGCATCCTATGACGGTGCCACTTTGAAAGTCACTGAGCTCTTCAGTAAGGCCATTCTACTGCCAATGTTTGTCTATGGAGATTGCATGGCTGTGTGCTCGATTTTATACACCCGTCAGAAATAGCCGAATCGACGAAATTGAAGGGGTGTCCACATACTTTTGTATATATAGTGTATGTGGGATGCTGGGCTGAAGGGAGTTGTAGTTTTCATTAAGCAAATATTCAACCTAGCGCCGCGTCATAAACGTGGTAATAAAATACAATGACCATAATCCATTGAGAGAAGGATAGAGACAGTTGGTGAAGTAGCTCTACCCGATTGGTAGTTGTAGTAGTTGGTAATAAGCAGTCTTGAAAGTATGCTGCATCTACTTTGAAGAGCTAGTCAAATGATATTGTCAGACAGCCTGCAGCATACTTAGGCAGCTACCAGCTAGCCACTAGCCTAGCTAAATAGGATGACTCAAAGACAGTACAGTATGACGGAGCATAGAGATAACGCTAGATGGTTGTCTGGCTGGCTGGCTGGCTGCTACTGCCTGAGCAGAGATGAGATGATGACTTTAAGGAATGAAAAATAATGAAGTCATCAAATAAAAACTAAGTAATATACAATAATGAAATATGTTATTATTTCATAGTTATTTCCTATTGATGTCAACCCAATGTGGACCTGAAACAGACAATGGAATATTTACAATGTTTTGGCAATTGAATGTTGAATTATTTAATAATGCATAAAAAAATTTACAATTATCGAAACCAAAATCAAAAACTTTGATTATGTTTTTTAAGAATCGAACCGACCTCAAAAAGCACTAATCACTCAGCACCATTATTTAACCAGGTAAGCCAGTTGAGAACAAGTTAGAACACTATATAGGGAACAGGGTGCCATTTGCGACACAATATTTGGGTGCTTCCCATTCTTAAGAAAAGCAGGTCACTGCATGAAGATGAGATGACTGTACACTTCCACAGAAGTTTGTCACAATACAGACGTGCGCACAAACGTCATATCATTCAGGACAATCTGAGTACGTGAAAATGTTAAAAATGTATAATAAAAAATAACAAATTTTTTCAAGTACAAACGGCATGCCTACCAGCTTGTAAGAGATCCACCGGACCTCCGACACTTTGTCTGAGCAGAGGGTCAGTGCTATTTGTCTGAGGTAGTTATACACATCATAGTGGCTGTACAACTCGATGATCAAGATCAGCTGCCTGTGGACACACACATGAAGACGTTCTGTTCAACACACACTGGCTCTGAAGTATAGGGGTCATCCTAAATAAAGTACATTTTCTTTCTCTGATATCTTCACTCCGCAAAGGAGTCCAACAATATTTCTATATGCATTGGCAGCACAGAGTAATAAAACCTAGTCCTTGTCACTCATTGTCATGTATGGCTTGACAATGAGCAATGGAGTGGACAAGAGCACAAACAGATCTGGGACCAGGACCTGTATCCACAAACTGTCTCAGAGTAGGAGTGCTGATCTAGGATATATATCTATCTATATATCTATATCATCTTATTACGATCTAAAAGGCAAAACTGATTCTTACTCTGACACGCTTTGTGGATACGGGCCCAATGTTAGTAATTGACTGTCATATGCCATCCTGCTAAGGAGCATAATTCATTGGCTGATCCATCCTGCTGACCTAGATCGGACTCTGTGATCCATTGGAAGTCCCATCCAAGTGGACTACTAAAATGGTGCATGCCATCACAGTCTTGTGGCAAGTGCGCCCTCTATTGGGAGAAATCAGGAGGCCTCCATTCTAAATGAATGAGAAAGATTGGCCCTGAACTAAATGAATGGGAGACTCACTCGGCCAGCTGATATCTAAATGAATGGGAGACTCACTCGGCCAACTGGTATCTAAATGAATGGGAGACTCACTCGGCCAACTGGTATCTAAATGAATGCGAGACTCACTCGGCCAGCTGGTATTTAAATGAATGGGCGACTCACTCGGCCAGCTGGTATCTAAATGAATGGGAGACTCACTCGGCCAGCTGGTATCTAAAGGAATGGGCGACTCACTCGGCCAGCTGGTATCTAAATGAATGGGAGACTCACTCGGCCAGCTGGTATCTAAATGAATGGGCGACTCACTCGGCCAGCTGGTATCTAAATGAATGGGCGACTCACTCGGCCAGCTGGTATTTAAATGAATGGGCGACTCACTCGGCCAGCTGGTATTTAAATGAATGGGCGACTCACTCGGCCAGCTGGTATCTAAATGAATGGGAGACTCACTCGGCCAGCTGGTATCTAAATTAATGGGCGACTCACTCGGCCAGCTGGTATTTAAATGAATGGGCGACTCACTCGGCCAACTGGTATCTAAATGAATGGGAGACTCACTCGGCCAGCTGGTATCTAAATGAATGGGAGACTCACTCGGCCAGCTGGTATCTAAATGAATGGGAGACTCACTCAGCCAGCTGGTATCTAAATGAATGGGCGACTCACTCGGCCAGCTGGTATCTAAATGAATGGGAGACTCACTCGGCCAGCTGGTATCTAAATGAATGGGAGACTCACTCGGCCAGCTGGTATCTAAATGAATGGGAGACTCACTCGGCCAGCTGGTATCTGAACCTCCAGTTGCGGCTGTTGTCCGTCACCATGAACTCCTGCAGCTGGTACAGGTACTCTCTCCTCTTCTCCGCATGGAGCAGCTGCCACAAGACAAGACAGAAGACAGAAAGCTGAAACACCACAGCAACAGATCCAAGTTATGGGTCGTTCCACCAAAACAGTGCCGTTTGCATCCCTTTGATATTTTAAGTAGAAATTGTGCACCGATATTGAATTTTAATGATTTATTTAATGTGATTAGTTTATCATTTACATCTGTCGCTTTTTTTAAGGTCAACCCCCGTAACGTGAACTCAACTTTAGTTATAATATGGTGTAAGTATTCCTTTAAAAAAATATGTTTTCACAAGAAACATTTAACTAATAGTCAAATCATAGTATAACAACAGGTCAGCTGGTTCTACCCTTTTTGGCCATTTTCTGGTGGAAAACTGAGCGGGTCGAGCATAACACGTCAACCCTGTTACCCATAGATAGATAAGCTAAAAATGTTTTAACAATGAAAAATGTTTTGTGAAGCTTCCATTCCTGTTGCAATACAACACGCTTCCATTACCCCTGTCACGAGGGGATTTATGGTTGATTTAAGATAAAATCTTCAACCCTGTTCCGGTCAACCCAGTTACTTTATTTGGCACTTACTTCAGTAATTGTTTTATTTAATCTCTTGAGAAGGGAAAATGACTTTGTTATGACAGAATGATAAAATTGGGTGAAACCAAAACATATATATATATATTTTACCAAGTTACACATCTCAAAAGGCACCGAATTGGTGGAACGACCCTTATCATGTCTCACCAAAGTTAGCATTATTCATCGTTACAAAACCCCTGGACAACAAATTCTCATTCATTAGTGACGCAAGGCACAAGTATCAAAAGAAGTGGAGACAAACGGAACAAGTGTAAAAAGACAGAAAAATGCCTCTCTACCTATAGACTAAACATGTTGTTATTGTGAAAGACAAATCGGTTCTATGACAACCATATGAACCCAATACACAGGTCAAGTCAGGCAGCCATCTAAATTTAAAATCCACTCTAGATTTACCATGTGACACGTAATATGGTAGCCTGAGTTCCAGTCTGTTTGTGCAATCATGCCAACTCCTTGTCACTCATTGTCAATGTTTGGCTTGACAATGAGCAATGGAGTTGGCAAAAAGAGCACAAACAGATCTGGGACCAGGCTATTAAAACAGCACAGCAGGTGGATCAAACGTTTTAATGTGTAGATTACCGATTTAGAATCGCTACACAGTTGCTCGTTACATGTATCGTGGTCTCACCTTGAGGAAGTCGTAGAGGTGTTTGAGCACGCCGATGCGCACCTCGTCCAGGTCCTTGAGGAAGCCGTTGAAGATGGGCACCAGGTCGGCCGCCGTCAGCTGGTCCCCCAGGATCAGGGCCAGATCGTGGATGGAGAACGCCAGCGTCCGGCGCACCTTCCACTATAGGGGTAATGAGTACAGCCAGGGGGTTAACTTGGCTCTTCACAAAACAAGACATTTCCATGTTAGGGAGCATTAGGGGGAGCATAGCCAACATGACCTTTGTCAGGTCAGAGGTGGTAAATGGGAGTATAGCCACTGCTATTTCAGCACACTCTCTTCTCTCGACCTCTGTCCCATCCAATTTGCCCAGAAATAAGCAAACATTTGAGGTAACTGAAGTTCCGTATAGCCTCTAAGTGAAAATGACAAGCTGTATTGCTTTTGGTTGCAAACTAACACGTCAATATTACGTCATGACCAAGCAGTCACTGGACTGGCCATTTGCATAGCAACGTGCATAGGATTTGCAAACAAATGTAATGGTTGTTTTCTGACGGGCATCAGAGTATCAATCTCCTGTGATGAGAGTATGTCAATACATGGTGTGTTGTTCACTTTTCGTTCCAAACCAAGCACTTATCATTGAAGACCCTGAGTTTCCGGTGTCGTGTTCTTGGGAACGCAACAGAAAACGAAAATGGGCATTTCTTATTGAACAAGCATAACATTTTCCCTCCCTGTTTCAGCCCGTTTTGGTAACTAATGAACACGACCCAGGTCCCCAACAGCATAACACAAAATAAAGCCTTTTGAGTGAAGCCAAAAAGCACCCACCTGTACGTCGGTGGCGAGGGTCTCGTACGTGTCCTTTAGGCAGTGCCAGTTCTGTCGGCCAAGGGTGAGGGCCACGCCAGGTAAGCTGAACGCACAGTGCTTGGCGATCTCCGTGTCCACCGTCTGGGCCTGTGCCGGGTCCGTCATGGAAAGATACTGTTCCAGCAGCTGCTGGGGAATCACATTCTGGAGAGGGGGGGGGGGGGGACAAGAGTATGAGGAATGGTTCAAACCTGTTACTATCATAGCCATGGCAGCGGCACTCAGTAGAAAGGACAAAGGGGGCTGGTTTCCCAGACATGGACTAAAGCCCGATTCACATTCAACAGCTGAGACGAGAAGGGACTGCTTTAAGTTTTCTTGATCTGAATGGTGTAGTTTTAGAACGTCTCGTGTTGGATGCTGGAGTTTCCAAAATTCCACATGTCAAATCTTAGCTAAAGACGAGATGTGTCCGTTAGCCAATAAGAGAACAGTGCGCTGACGTTCCGTGTTTAGCCAGCCAAGCTTACAGCCAGCTATCCATTTCTGAGGGGATAGCTGTAGTTAGCTAGCCTGGCTTGCTAATATTTATTTGTCAAGTCACAAAGTGAGCCGGTGAGCCAGCCAGTGGCTGCATGTATTTCATGAAACTCGTTTGCTAAATACCTTGCTACAAGTAGCTAGCAACTTAGTTACAACGTATCAGCACTGTGCTCAACCTTTTTTATTTGAATGCCCATCTCGAGTCAGCTGTTTTACAACACAACATTCTAATTCTATTCTGTCTCGTTTTGTGTCGCCTCTCTTTATGTTGGCTGTTAGATCTGTACCAGGCTTAAGCCTCATCCTGGACTCAAACGCACCATCAATGGACCAGGACTAGGCTAAATCTGGTTCCGGAACACTAGCCCTACATCTTGTCAATCGCAATTCATTGGACATTGGATCGTTTTACTATTCTCAGACAAAACAGCTTAAAGGTACCCCAGACTTGACTGGATCATAAATGTCCCTCTATGTGTACAGTAACAAGGTTTATTAGAAATTCAGTGTTTGACAGAACTGACTAACTGACCTGGACCTTGGACTTCTCCTCACACACCTGGTTGAAAGCAGAGTCCTCCTTCCCCTCCTCCTCCGCGCTCTCCATCAGCTCCGACTCCTGACCAACAACGGGAGCAGATACACATTTAGACATATCAGTCAGCTAGCACAGACAAACCTATCAGTCAGATAGCACAGACAAACATACCTGTCAGCTAGCACAGACAAACCTATCAGTCCGCTAGCACAGACAACCTACCAGTCCAGCTAGCACAGATAAACATACAGTCAGCTAGCACAGACAAACCTATCAGTCAGCTAGCACAGACAAACATACCAGTCAGCTAGCACAGACAAACATACCAGTCCGCTAGCACAGACAAACATACCAGTCAGCTAGCACAGACAAACATACCAGTCAGCTAGCACAGACAAACATACCAGTCAGCTAGCACAGAGAAACATACCAGTCAGCTAGCACAGAGAAACATACCAGTCAGCTAGCACAGACAAACATACCAGTCAGCTAGCACAGACAAACATACCAGTCAGCTAGCACAGAGAAACATACCAGTCGCTAGCACAGACAAACATACCAGTCCGCTAGCACAGACAACATACCAGTCAGCTAGCACAGAAAACATACCAGTCAGCTAGCACAGACAAACATACCAGTCAGCTAGCACAGAAACATACCAGTCAGCTAGCACAGACAAACATACCAGTCAGCTAGCACAGAGAAACATACCAGTCAGCTAGCACAGACAAACATACCAGTCAGCTAGCACAGACAAACATACCAGTCAGCTAGCACAGAGAAACATACCAGTCAGCTAGCACAGACAAACATACCAGTCAGCTAGCACAGACAAACATACCAGTCAGCTAGCACAGAGAAACATACCAGTCAGCTAGCACAGAGAAACATACCAGTCAGCTAGCACAGACAAACATACCAGTCAGCTAGCACAGAGAAACATACCAGTCAGCTAGCACAGACAAACATACCAGTCCGCTAGCACAGACAAACCTATCAGTCAGCTAGCACAGACAAACATACCAGTCCGCTAGCACAGACAAACCTATCAGTCAGCTAGCACAGACAAACATACCAGTCAGCTAGCACAGAGAAACATACCTGTCAGCTAGCACAGACAAACATACCAGTCAGCTAGCACAGAGAAACATACCAGTCCGCTAGCACAGACAAACATACCAGTCAGCTAGCACAGAGAAACATACCAGTCAGCTAGCACAGACAAACATACCAGTCAGCTAGCACAGACAAACATACCAGTCAGCTAGCACAGACAAACATACCAGTCAGCTAGCACAGAGAAACATACCAGTCAGCTAGCACAGACAAACATACCAGTCAGCTAGCACAGACAAACATACCAGTCAGCTAGCACAGAGAAACATACCAGTCAGCTAGCACAGAGAAACATACCAGTCAGCTAGCACAGACAAACATACCAGTCAGCTAGCACAGAGAAACATACCAGTCAGCTAGCACAGACAAACATACCAGTCCGCTAGCACAGACAAACCTATCAGTCAGCTAGCACAGACAAACATACCAGTCCGCTAGCACAGACAAACCTATCAGTCAGCTAGCACAGACAAACATACCAGTCAGCTAGCACAGACAAACATACTAGTCCGCTAGCACAGACAAACCTATCAGTCAGATAGCACAGACAAACATACCAGTCCGCTAGCACAGACAGACATGTAGGGAAGTAGCTCAGATACACCCATATAGAGAGAAGTAAGCTAGCTAGACAACAAAGAGGACAAAAGGGAACAGAGACAGGCTTTACTGGAGTAAAATATATACTATAAAAGTTTAGTTGCTTAACTTTTTACAAATGTTGGCTGTATGGTTCATGTACATAAATCATTTAATATTACATTTTTATCTCACACAAATCCTTAGTTTTAGGCAAACAACATATGAGTTTTACTTATGGGTATGGGGAGTTATGCCCTTTCGGTGTAATGAGGTAACTTCTGGACCATATTTCTCTTCATTTAAGGGAACCCTTTTGGCTCAAGAGCACCCCCAGAGGCAAAGGTTCCATATAGTGTCTTTAACGGTGTCAAAGTTCCATATAGCCTCTTTAACATTGTCAAAGTTCCATATACATTTACGTCATTTAGCAGACGCTCTTATCCAGAGCGACTTATATAGCCTCTTTAACAGTGTCAAAGTTCCATATAGTCTCTTTAATGGTGTCAAAGTTCCATATAGTCTCTTTAACAGTGTCAAAGTTCCATATAGTCTCTTTAATGGTGTCAAAGTTCCATATAGCCTCTTTAACAGTGTCAAAGTTCCATATAGTCTCTTTAATGGTGTCAAAGTTCCATATAGCCTCTTTAACGGTGTCAAAGTTCCATATAGTCTCTTTAATGGTGTCAAAGTTCCATATAGTCTCTTTAATGGTGTCAAAGTTCCATATAGCCTCTTTAACAGTGTCAAAGTTCCATATAGTCTCTTTAATGGTGTCAAAGTTCCATATAGCCTATTTAACAGTGTCAAAGTTCCATATAGCCTCTTTAACGGTGTCAAAGTTCCATATAGCCTCTTTAACAGTGTCAAAGTTCCATATAGCCTCTTTAACAGTGTCAAAGTTCCATATAGTCTCTTTAACGGTGTCAAAGTTCCATATAGTCTCTTTAACGGTGTCAAAGTTCCATATAGTCTCTTTAATGGTGTCAAAGTTCCATATAGCCTCTTTAACGGTGTCAAGGTTCCATATAGTCTCTTTAATGGTGTCAAAGTTCCATATAGCCTCTTTAACAGTGTCAAAGTTCCATATAGTCTCTTTAACGGTGTCAAAGTTCCATATAGTCTCTTTAACGGTGTCAAAGTTCCATATAGTCTCTTTAATGGTGTCAAAGTTCCATATAGTCTCTTTAATGGTGTCAAAGTTCCATATAGCCTCTTTAACAGTGTCAAAGTTCCATATTGCCTCTTTAACAGTGTCAAAGTTCCATATAGTCTCTTTAATGGTGTCAAAGTTCCATATAGTCTCTTTAATGGTGTCAAAGTTCCATATAGTCTCTTTAATGGTGTCAAAGTTCCATATAGCCTCTTTAACAGTGTCAAAGTTCCATATAGTCTCTTTAACGGTGTCAAAGTTCCATATAGTCTCTTTAACGGTGTCAAAGTTCCATATAGTCTCTTTAATGGTGTCAAAGTTCCATATAGTCTCTTTAATGGTGTCAAAGTTCCATATAGCCTCTTTAACAGTGTCAAAGTTCCATATAGCCTCTTTAACAGTGTCAAAGTTCCATATAGTCTCTTTAATGGTGTCAAAGTTCCATATAGTCTCTTTAATGGTGTCAAAGTTCCATATAGCCTCTTTAACAGTGTCAAAGTTCCATATAGTCTCTTTAATGGTGTCAAAGTTCCATATAGTCTCTTTAATGGTGTCAAAGTTCCATATAGTCTCTTTAATGTGTCAGAGTTCCATATAGTCTCTTTAATGGTGTCAAAGTTCCATATAGCCTCTAATTGTCAAAAAGCAATTCATCAAAGTAATTTTGACTTACCATACTGCTGTGGTCCGGGTCATCCCGTACTAGGAAAGGCGAGTCGGGGGGTGACTCCTGAGGCTCTGCCTCCTCCTCCAACTCCTTCTCAGTCTCCTCTTCTGCCTTGTTCTCTTTCTGTTCCTCTGTAGGTTCTGGGTCCCTGGCCTGCTTGGTTGGTGGCTCAGGTGTCTGTGTCTCCTCTGTGGTCAATCTGTTCTGGGAGGACTCCTTGTCCCCATCTTCTGGTGACTGGCTCTCTGACTGACCCTCCACCTCCTCCTCCTCCTCAGACTGGCTCTCTGACTGACCCTTCACCTCCTCCTCCTCAGACTGGCTCTCTGACTGACCCTTCATCTCCTCCTCCTCAGACTGGCTCTCCAGCTGGGCAGCCTTTAGGGCAGCCGAGAGCACCTGTACTTGGGCTGGGAGACGCATGTGGAAAGACACACATAAAAAACACACACGGTCATGAATACACAGGTCATGTTCAAACTCCCAAATGTCCAGACTATTAAATTCAGTGAGTGTTAAATAATGTTGTGAAGGTTGGATGATATCCAGCCCATTGTGTCACCATAAAACACAATTTGTCCTAAATGATTGAACCAATTTTATTGATTTATTATAACTTAATTAACAACCTTTGACAATCCTCACCTTGTACATCAGGGTCGTCCATGTGGGGCTGGAGGCAGTCCAACACCTTCTGGATTTGAGAGCTGGTTGCTGGCTGCAGACTGGTCATCTCCCCGTCCTCTAGCCCCACCACCTCCTCCTTTTCTCCCTCTGTCTGAGTCCGAGGACCCTGGCACTTCAGCATCTCCAATTCCTGGCTGATATCCGCTAACGGAGGCCTCCAGTAGTGGAAAGAGTTAAAGTTCTGGTCTGTTTGTGCCGTCTCCTTGTTTTTGTTGTTTGTGGGAGGAGGGTTGTTGTTGTGCACCTGGCCTTCGTGTCGGTTTCGGGGAGGAGTGTGTGTGGAGTCGCTGCCACTGTCACCCCTGGACATGGATTCTAGGGATGGGGTGGAGCGGCCATCTTGGTTAATGGGTGTGTTCGAGGGTCTCACTCTGTGGCCGTTGGAGGAGCAGCGCATGGAGGACTCGATACAGAGGGGGGAATTGCTGCAACAGAGAGCCAACAAATATCAGAGAGCCCCCTTGTGTCCCGCTTAAAGTATATCAACACTATTTCAAACGCATTTAAAAAAAATCTGAACACAACTTTAATTCAAACGCATTTATCACTAGAACCGCTAAATCAGTCATTTTGACTGCTTGTGAATTAATATTTATTTATTACTCTGTAATTTTTTTAAGTCATGAGCCCCTCTGTCCTTCATTTTTACTAAATATGTCTATATACAGTGAGGGAAAAAAATATTTGATCCCCTGCTGATTTTGTACGTTTGCCCACTGACAAAGAAATTATCAGTCTATCATTTTAATGGTAGGTTTATTTGAACAGTGAGAGACAGACTAACAACAACAAAATCCAGAAAAACGCATGTCAAAAATGTTATAAATTGATTTGCATTTTAATGAGGGAAATAAGTATTTGACCCCCTCTCAATCAGAAAGATTTCTGGCTCCCAGGTGTCTTTTATACAGGTAACGAGCTGAGATTAGGAGCACACTCTTAAAGGGAGTGCTCCTAATCTCAGTTTGTTACGTGTATAAAAGACACCTGTCCACAGAAGCAATCAATCAATCAGATTCCAAACTCTCCACCATGGCCAAGACCAAAGAGCTCTCCAAGGATGTCAGGGACAAGATTGTAGACCTACACAAGGCTGGAATGGGCTACAAGACCATCGCCAAGCAGCTTGGTGAGAAGGTGACAACAGTTGGTGCAATTATTCGCAAATGGAAGAAACACAAAAGAACTGTCAATCTCCCTCGGCCTGGGGCTCCATGCAAGATCTCACCTCGTGGAGTTGCAATGATCATGAGAACGGTGAGGAATCAGCCCAGAACTACACGGGAGGATCTTCTCAATGATCTCAAGGGAGCTGGGACCATAGTCACCAAGAAAACAATTGGTAACACACTACGCCGTGAAGGACTGAAATCCTGCAGCGCCCGCAAGGTCCCCCTGCTCAAGACAGCACATATACATGCCCGTCTGAAGTTTGCCAATGAACATCTGAATGATTCAGAGGAGAACTGGGTGAAAGTGTTGTGGTCAGATGAGACCAAAATCGAGCTCTTTGGCATCAACTCAACTCGCCGTGTTTGGAGGAGGAGGAATGCTGCCTATGAACACCATCCCCACCGTCAAACATGGAGGTGGAAACATTATGCTTTGGGGGTGTTTTTCCTGCTAAGGGGACAGGACAACTTCACCGCATCAAAGGGACGATGGACGGGGCCATGTACCGTCAAATCTTGGGTGAGAACCTTCTTCCCTCAGCCAGGGCATTGAAAATGGGTCGTGGATGGGTATTTGATAGATTAATTATTAATGACTAATTATTACACCCTGAAACTGTGTATAATGTGTTAGAAATGTGTGAGTGTAGGACCAGTAAAGGCTATGGCATTGAGCCACTATTTAGCAATGTGAGTAAGAGTTAGGCCAGACAACAAAGACAACTGAGAAACTAAGATAAAGAGGCCTCCCAATTTAGGGAGGGGAGAAACTGTTATGAAAACATGGTGCAGAATATTGTGAGAACGGCAATAACTGAGTAATGCAGGGAGTAGGATATGTGTGTGTGTGTGTGTGTGTATGTATGTGTGTATGCATGTGTGTATATGTGTGTGTGTGTGAACTGAAGGTCAGTAGAGCAGTTTTAGAGTGGAAAACTACAGCCCGCCTACAGAGGGGAGGGATTTATTTTTGTATGACGTATGAGTATAAAAGATGGAGTATAAAAGATGAAATTGTGATGGCAGAATTCTCAATGAATAAATATCTCTGACTATGCAGACCGGGACTCTGGCCGTTACTTAAATCCCAAAAGACTTACAACCTTTTGGGAGACGCACAGAGACACTAAAATAGTTTGTTAAATAATTCACATAACAGTATTCCAGCATGACAATGACCCAAAACACATGGCCAAGGCAACAAAGGAGTGGCTCAAGAAGAAGCACATTAAGGTCCTGGAGTGGCCTAGCCAGTCTCCAGACCTTAATCCCATAGAAAATCTGTGGAGGGAGCTGAAGGTTCGAGTTGCCAAACGTCAGCCTCGAAACCTTAATGACTTGGAGAAGATCTGCAAAGAGGAGTGGAACAAAATCCCTCCTGAGATGTGTGCAAACCTGGTGACCAACTACAAGAAACGTCTGACCTCTGTGATTGCCAACAAGGGTTTTGCCACCAAGTACTAAGTCATGTTTTGCAGAGGGGTCAAATACTTATTTCCCTCATTAAAATGCAAATCAATTTATAACATTTTTGACATTAGTTTTTCTGGATTTTTTTGTTGTTATTCTGTCTCTCACTGTTCAAATAAACCTACCATTAAAATTATAGACTGATCATTTCTTTGTCAGAGGGCAAACGTACAAAATCAGCAGGGGATCAAATACTTTTTTCCCTCACTGTAACACACTGTCGGTGTTAGAATCTTAATATCACAAACAGAACTGGAGTTTTAGGAGGGCATGTCATTATTTGAATGGTTTTCCCTCCCTGCTCCACTCCTTCTCCCAACAGTAGGGCCTGCTCCACTCCTTCTCCCAACAGTAGGGCCTGCTCCACTCCTTCTCCCAACAGTTGAAAGTGCCCAGCTGATAATCACCCCGATAATTGCCTCAAAACTGAACCGAAAATATACCGACACTAATTTCACAAATATAACAACAGATGAAATAAATTAAGTAAAGTATGATGGGGAAAAGGGGGGAGAATTGGTGAGTTGATGAACGAGGGGAAGCGAACGATGCATAATTATGTAATCATCAATTGTGAATGAAGAACAGCGCGGGCCATTCTATTGTATTGCTTGCAAAGAAAACAAGTAATGCCGGCACCATGAACAAAGTGAGACAGGAGCTCCCTCCCTCTGCACAAAATAAGGCACCTGCACAGCCATTGAACTCCACAACGGTGATGAAGAATGACAAGATGACCGGAACACAATAAAGAGAACTGGAGACTATTACACACTGCACTGGAGACTATTACACACTACACTGGAGACTATTACACACTACACTGGAGACTATTACACACTACACTGGAGACTATTACACACTACACTGGAGACTATTGCACACTACACTGGAGACTATTACACACTACACTGGAGACTATTACACACTAGACTGGAGACTATTGCACACTACACTGGAGACTATTACACACTACACTGGAGACTATTGCACACTACACTGGAGACTATCACACACTACACTGGAGACTATCACACACTACACTGGAGACTATTACACACTACACTGGAGACTATTACACACTACACTGGAGACTATCACACACTACACTGGAGACTATCACACACTACACTGGAGACTATTACACACTACACTGGAGACTATTACACACTACACTGGATACTATTACACACTACACTGGAGACTATTACACACTACACTGGAGACTATTACATACTACACTGGAGACTATTACACACTACACTGGAGACTATTGCACACTACACTGGAGACTATTACACACTACACTGGAGACTATTACACACTACACTGGAGACTATTACACACTACACTGGAGACTATTGCACACTACACTGGAGACTATTACACAATACACTGGAGACTATTGCACACTACACTGGAGACTATTGCACACTACACTGGAGACTATTACACACTACACTGGAGACTATTACACACTACACTGGAGACTATTACACACTACACTGGAGACTATTACACACTACACTGGAGACTATTACACACTACACTGGAGACTATTACACACTACACTGGAGACTATTACACACTGCACTGGAGACTATTACACACTACACTGGAGACTATTACACACTGAACTGGAGACTATTACACACTACACTGGAGACTATTACACACTACACTGGAGACTATTACACACTACACTGGAGACTATTACACACCACACTGGAGACTATTACACACTACACTGGAGACTATTACACACTAAACTGGAGACTATTACACACTGCACTGGAGACTATTACACACTACACTGGAGACTATTACACACTGAACTGGAGACTATTACACTACACTGGAGACTATTACACTACACTGGAGACTATTACACACTACACTGGAGACTATTACACACTACACTGGAGACTATTACACACTACACTGGAGACTATTACACTGGAGACTATTACACACTACACTGGAGACTATTACACACTACACTGGAGACTATTGCACACTACACTGGAGACTATTGCACACTACACTGGAGACTATTACACACTACACTGGAGACTATTACACTGGAGACTATTACACACTACACTGGAGACTATTACACACTAAACTGGAGACTATTACACACTAAACTGGAGACTATTACACACTACACTGGAGACTATTACACTGGAGACTATTACACACTACACTGGAGACTATTACACACTACACTGGAGACTATTACACACTACACTGGAGACTATTACACACTACAGCCAAACAAAGTTATGTCAAAGTGTCTCAAGCAAGTGAAAGTTATGAAAATGGTGTCAACTATTAGAACAAGGGACAACAGCTAAATGAAATCCAACTGATGCCATCGCATGAACACGCACACAAGCTGACAATAACTGACTATTTTTGACTGCTGTCATATCGACACCTACATTCATTATAATGCTGTTATTGCTTTTCTGCCGAGATTCACTATTTATCAAGGCCACTTGGCGCTTATAATGATGTTTAGGCTACTGATGTTTTCATCATTTGACCGAGTCTTGGTGGTTGGGGTATTTAAAAAATAAAGAAAATCGTTATAAAAAGAAGCTGTTACCGTGTTCCAAGTATGCTTTCTGTTTCATAGTTGTAACAAAGGCATTCCATGAAAAACATTTATTGAACACTTGAATTTGTATTTTTTTGTTTTTACATATAATGAAAATGCTATTGTGTTACTTGAAATAAAAATACAAAATGTATTCTAATGTTACCCAAGGCCTTCATAAAGACAACCAAATGTTTATTTTTGCGATAGCATATACTGTATGAAATGGATTCATTCCACTGTCAGAACGTCGCAGTCAGAGTGACTGCTCATTGGCTGGAAGGGGGGTCCGTCGAGGCCCAGCGTGTTAAAAAAATCACAACACACAAAACTCTAAATTCAAAAGTGAAAACAAGAACGGCTATTGGTCCATGTTACTAGTATGGTACACTTCGAATAGTGTTTTTGGACCCAGAGTGGAGCGGTGACAATGTGTGTGTGTTTTGCGTGCCGGTTTGTGTTCTAACCTGTCAGAGGGACACCTGGGGACCTCCAGCAGCGTGCCGTCCTCTTTGAAGTAGAGGCCCGTGCTGGAGGGGTTGGCAAAGGTGGAGATGAAGCGTCCCAGAGACTGGAAGGCAGCCTGGTCGCACCTGGAGGGTCAACAGAGCATGTTGACCACATCATTAAATACAACAATGTAGGAACACACACACACACAATAATATATCTCTATGATGTTCACCGTCAGTCTATGATCACTGTTATTGTAATTCATGGTCATTCACACGGAAAACGTGTCTCACACAAACATCACCAGAATAGAATGGTGTTTATACGTGTGTGTGTGTGTGTGTGTGTGTGTGTGTGCGCACGCGTCTGGCGCTGGCTCTTACCCAGCGAGACTGGTCACTGATGAGGCTACTGAAGAGGGGGGACAGTTTAGTGCGTCGCACCTCGGGGGAGGTAGAGTTGGAGACGATCATGAAGCAGTCGGCGCACGCCTTTCGGATGCCCCAAAGGCTATCAGAGCATAGGTCAAAGAACTTGGACATCTGGGCAGTGACAGAAGACAATCATTACCATGTATTCATTACTGGAGATCGTAGCAAACTGTAGCAAAACATTTTCCAATGAAAACAATCATTTCTTATGAGACAAATTCAGGTAGGTTGCACTTAAGGAAATCACGAATATCATGGATATATTAGAACTAGTGGATATATGGAGGCTTAAATATCCTGACCTAGTGAGATATACAGTACCAGTCAAAAGTTTGGACACACCTACTCATTCAAGGGTTTTCTTTATTTTTACTATTTTCTACATTGTAGAATATTAATGAAGACATCAAAACTATGAAATAACACATGGAATCATGTAGTAACCAAAAAAGTGTTTAACAAATCAAAATATATGTTATATTTGATATTCTTCAAAGTAGCCACCCTTTGCCTTGATGACAGCTTTGCACACTCTTGGTATTCTCTCAACCAGCTTCATGATGAATGCTTTTCCAACAGTCTTGAAGGAGTTCCCACATATGCTGAGCACTTGTTGGCTGCTTTTCCTTCACTCTGCGGTCCGACTCATCCCAAACCATCTCAATTGGGTTGAGGTCTGGTGATTGTGGAAAACAGGTCACGTGATGCAGCACCATCACTCTCCTTATTGGTCAAATAGCCCTTACACAGCCTGGAGGTGTGTTTTGGGTCATTGTCCTGTTGAAAAACAAATTATAGTCCCACTAAGCGCAAACCAGATGGGCTGCAATTTCTGAGGCTGGTAACTCTACTGAACTTATCCTCCGCAGCAGAGGTAACTCTGGGTCTTCCTTGCCTGTGGCAATCCTCATGAGAGCCAGTTGCGCTTGATGGTTTTTGTGACTGCACTTGAAGAAACTTTAAAAGTTCTTGAAATGTTCCGTATTGACTGACCTTCATGTCTTAGTAATGATGTAAGTAAGTAAGTAATGATGGACTGTCATTTGAGCTTTTCTTGCCATAATATGGACTTGGTCTTTTACCAAATAGGGCTATCTTCTGTATACCACCCCTACCTTGTCACAACACAACTGATTGGCTCAAACGCATTAAGAAGGAAAGAAATTCCACAAATTAACTTTTAACAAGGCACACCTGTTAATTTAAATCCATTCCAGGTGACTACCTCATGAAGCTGGTTGAGAGAATGCCAAGAGTGTGCAAAGCTGTCATCAAGGCAAAGCGTGGCTACTTTGAAGAATCTCAAATATAAAAAAACACTTTTTTGGTTACTACATGATTGCATGTGTTATTTCATAGTTTTGGTTTCTTCACTATTATTCTACAATGTAGAAAATAGTAAAAAATAAAGAAAAACCCTGGAATGAGTAGGTGTGTCCAAACTTTTGACTGGTACTGTATATATATATATATATATATATATATATATATATATATATATATATATATATGAAATAATGCCACATTCTCACCAGTAGTTTCTCTGTGGCATCCCGGCCCACAATGGAACAGAACTCTCCGAAATTGGCTGCACACACCTGAAGGAAAACAGTGTCAAAAACCTGTTGTTAAAAATAGTTTGTTCATGCAGCTTTTGCTCACTGGTACGGCTGGAAAAAAAACATACTGTTTATCTATGTCAGCCTTACAGACGTATTATTCAGAACCAACAGTATTAAGGGGCAACATTGGGACACACCAAGGCGCATTACAGTCATTACAAGCTCCGGAATATCTCCAGGGGTTCAAATAAATACCCCTTCCCCAACTGGTTACCAGGTTCCAGAGGGGATTACAATTCCAAACAGAAAACAACGACAGTTTACGCCTTCATACTGAATCACAAAACACACTCCTTCAGCAACTGCATTCATTCAGTTTGTGAACATTTTGGAAGATTCAAGACGTGAAAACACACTCCTTGAGCGACTACCATAAACAGTGTGTAATGTTTATTGTCAAAACTGTGCTCTAGTTGGATCCGGAGAAGTGTGTGTGTTTACCTTGCGGACTTGGAATAGCCTGGCGTCGCTGCACAGCTCACAGAAGCGCTGCAGCAGCTGCTCCACTGTGTCTTTGCTCAGCATGGTTACCAGCTTACACATGATCTACAGAGCAGGGAGAGAGGAGAGGGCATCGCAATCAATGCTACTCTAATGGAATCCACAGGGGCTCCAGGGTACAGATCTGGGATAAGCTTCCCCTCCCCCCCAATCTGTAAATTATTTGCTGGGGCAAAATACTAAACTGACCCAAGATCAGCGTCTAGGTGCACCCTACACCTCCACGTGGATCCAAGCACAGTGATTGGTTCTCAAACAGCACTTATTGGACTTTGTGGAGGATTCAGCTGGGCATTCCACACAGGCTTACCGTTCCACACAGCCTTACCGTTCCACACAGCCTTACCGTTCCACACAGCCTTACCGTTCCACACAGCCTTACCGTTCCACACAGCCTTACCGTTCCACACAGCCTTACCGTTCCACACAGGCTTACCGTTCCACACAGCCTTACCGTTCCACACAGCCTTACCGTTCCACACAGCCTTACCGTTCCACACAGGCTTACCGTTCCACACAGCCTTACCGTTCCACACAGCCTTACCCCACAGCCTTACCGTTCCACACAGCCTTACCGTTCCACACAGGCTTACCGTTCCACACAGCCTTACCGTTCCACACAGGCTTACCGTTCCACACAGGCTTACCGTTCCACACAGGCTTACCGTTCCACACAGGCTTACCGTTCCACACAGCCTTACCGTTCCACACAGCCTTACCGTTCCACACAGCCTTACCGTTCCACACAGCCTTACCGTTCCACACAGCCTTACCGTTCCACACAGCCTTACCGTTCCACACAGCCTTACCGTTCCACACAGCCTTACCGTTCCACACAGCCTTACCGTTCCACACAGCCTTACCGTTCCACACAGCCTTACCGTTCCACACAGGCTTACCGTTCCACACAGCCTTACCGTTCCACACAGCCTTACCGTTCCACACAGCCTTACCGTTCCACACAGCCTTACCGTTCCACACAGCCTTACCGTTCCACACAGCCTTACCGTTCCACACAGGCTTACCGTTCCACACAGGCTTACCGTTCCACACAGCCTTACCGTTCCACACAGCCTTACCGTTCCACACAGCCTTACCGTTCCACACAGGCCTTACCGTTCCACACAGCCTTACCGTTCCACACAGCCTTACCGTTCCACACAGCCTTACCGTTCCACACAGCCTTACCGTTCCACACAGCCTTACCGTTCCACACAGGCTTACCGTTCCACACAGGCTTACCGTTCCACACAGGCTTACCGTTCCACACAGCCTTACCGTTCCACACAGCCTTACCGTTCCACACAGCCTTACCGTTCCACACAGCCTTACCGTTCCACACAGGCTTACCGTTCCACACAGCCTTACCGTTCCACACAGCCTTACCGTTCCACACAGGCTTACCGTTCCACACAGCCTTACCGTTCCACACAGCCTTACCGTTCCACAGCTAACCGTATTAGAGAAAGCATCGTCAAGGTTACGAAAATAAACCCCGTTTATATAGCACAATACTGGTAGTGAGCATGGATTAATGCGGACTTGTCTAGCTACTGACAATTCCTCTGAAGCTGCATCTGATATTGACTTAAATATTGTGGCTAGGGTCCACTAACAACCATCTTAATTCTTCCCACCCAGGGATCAGTCATAGCCGATATCATCTTTGTCTGACGTGTTTTTTGGTATAATACCTCAGAACCACTACTCTTGCATCTTTGTGTCTACGTCCTGTATTTCCTTTATGTTCTATACTGTATATGTCTGTATGTTCCATATGACATACAGGACCTATATAGAACATAAAGACATACAGTGGGGAAAAAAAGTATTTAGTCAGCCACCAATTGTGCAAGTTCTCCCACTTAAAAAGATGAGAGAGGCCTGTAATTTTCATCATAGGTACACGTCAACTATGACAGACAAAATGAGAAAAAAAAATCCAGAAAATCACATTGTAGGATTTTTTATGAATTTATTTGCAAATTATGGTGGAAAATAAGTATTTGGTCAATAACAAAAGTTTCTCAATACTTTGTTACATACCCTTTGTTGGCAATGACACAGGTCAAACGTTTTCTGTAAGTCTTCACAAGGTTTTCACACACTGTTGCTGGTATTTTGGCCCATTCCTCCAAGCAGATCTCCTCTAGAGCAGTGATGTTTTGGGGCTGTCGCTGGGCAACACGGACTTTCAACTCCCTCCAAAGATTTTCTATGGGGTTGAGATCTGGAGACTGGCTCGGCCACTCCAGGACCTTGAAATGCTTCTTACGAAGCCACTCCTTCGTTGCCCGGGCGGTGTGTTTGGGATCATTGTCATGCTGAAAGACCCAGCCACGTTTCATCTTCAATGCCCTTGCTGATGGAAGGAGGTTTTCACTCAAAATCTCACGATACATGGCCCCATTCATTCTTCATTTTTGCTCAACATTCTTGTGATCATTTTGACCCCACGGGTGAGATCTTGCGTGGAGCCCCAGATCGAGGGAGATTATCAGTGGTCTTGTATGTCTTCCATTTCCTAATAATTGCTCCCACAGTTGATTTATTCAAACCAAGCTGCTTACCTATTGCAGATTCAGTCTTCCCAGCCTGGTGCAGGTCTACAATTTTGTTTCTGGTGTCCTTTGACAGCTCTTTGGTCTTGGCCATAGTGGAGTTTGGAGTGTGACTGTTTGAGGTTGTGGACAGGTGTCTTTTATACTGATAACAAGTTCAAACAGGTGCCATTAATACAGGTAACGAGCGGAGGACAGAGGAGCCTCTTAAAGAAGAAGTTACAGGTCTGTGAGAGCCAGAAATCTTGCTTGTTTGTAGGTGACCAAATACTTATTTTCCACCATAATTTGCTAATAAATTCATTAAAAATCCTACAATGTGATTTTCTGGATTTTTTTTTCTAATTTTGTCTGTCATAGTTGACGTGTACCTAAGATGAAAATTACAGGCCTCTCTCATCTTTTTAAGTGGGAGAACTTGCACAATTGGTGGCTGACTAAATACTTTTTTCCCCCACTGTATACAGAACATAAAACAAAGATCAACAGATACGGGCAAGATAAGTTTTTCTGAAAAATGTTTGAGTGCGTTTGACATGTTCTGCATTTCTTCAGTTTCTGTGATCTGAATAAAAAATGTGAGCTTGAATCATCAATAAACCCAAAGCCAAAGTAATCTTACTGCGACGGCCTCTATCTTGTAGTCGTCGTCGCTGCTGGGCTCGGTGAGGTCCAGTAGAACAGGACACACTTTGGTCTCCATGTCACCCTTGCAGATGAGACCCTGCTCTAATAGCACCAGCAGGGCCGCCTGACTGGTCTTCCTCACCTGGGGAAAAAATACCATCTCTGTCAGTACTGACCGCTTTACCTCACAATATAGTGTTTACTTAGCCTGGAAATACTTCACTTAGCCTGGAAATACTTCACTTAGCCTGGAAATACTTCACTTAGCCTGGAAATACTTTACTTAGCCTGGAAATACTTTACTTAGCCTGGAAATACTTTACTTAGCCTGGAAATACTTTACTTAGCCTGGAAATACTTCACTTAGCCTGGAAATACTTTACTTAGCCTGGAAATACTTTACTTAGCCTGGAAATACTTCACTTAGCCTGGAAATACTTCACTTAGCCTGGAAATACTTTACTTAGCCTGGAAATACTTCACTTAGCCTGGAAATACTTCACTTAGCCTGGAAATACTTTACTTAGCCTGGAAATACTTCACTTAGCCTGGAAATACTTTACTTAGCCTGGAAATACACACTGATTATTGTGCGCCGCACATATTCTGTTCAGTTCACTATGGTAGCCTTTTTTCCTGGAATTTGTTTAATGTATTACGAGCTTGTTGAATTTCCAATAATAAATCACCATTTACAATTCATATGCACAAATGACAGCCAAAGGGTGTCAGTAGTCACAGTTGATTAAGATAATGTCACGGTTTTGTTGTGGTCCATTGGGAGTCCTATATGTTCCTACCTGGTTATTGGGGTCTGTGAGATAGCGCACCACGATGGGCACCAGGTATCTGGAGAAGGCTGCTGGGAAGTTGGGCTGGCTCTCGTGTAGGAACATGGCGATGTTGGGCACCTGCTCCATCAGCTCGGCGCGCACGGTGGGCTCTGAGGACACGCACAACGATGACACAGACACACACAGAGGGAGATGGTCACAAACACGCATACAAAAAGGTTCTAACAATACAATACATTTTCATTTGGGGTTTGGGGTCAATTGCACGTAAAAGTCAGTCAATTCAGGGATTAAATTGCACTCCGATGGATCGCCAACCTTCCATGTACAATTCAAGTGACAGCAATTAGAATGGAATTGATCCCAACCTCACAAACACATGACAGAATTGTCAAATTATATACATTTAATAAAACATCTACCTCCATCTTCAGACATTCGGGCAACTGTCTCCATGACACTGATAAAGTCATTCTCATTGTCACTGAACTCTCGAAGCACATCAAGCAACCCGCGTGCCACGATCTGCCTAGAAAGCAACACAAGCCCCAAGTTAGTGCCTGGGCCAGCATCTAGCCCAAGTAGCACAACACAGCGCAGCCGGCCCATAGCTGACGAGAACATCACACACATGCACTTACAAATCACCCCAATGAGGACTTGAACTCAACAAGCAGAGCATGAAAACTTCCTTTCCATGAGTTTAGTTCAATTGGGGGCAATGGAGGGGTGTTGATGGGGTGTTTGTAGAGGTGATTTGCACAAGCTATGCCAAAGCACACGCTAAGGCCTTTAAAAACCAGAGGGCATCAGGCAGGCTTTTATCTTTGATTTGGCAGAAAGCAAGAAGAAACCACATCATAAACACTTAGGTCAAACCAGGCACGTCATAACAAGCGTGGCACCTCGTGAGTTCATGTCTTGAAGCACAGGGTGAAAGACCTGGCAGTATGGAATGCCCAGCCTTCACTCAGCCCATTCACTGATGCCTGACATAATTTGTTATATTCCAGCCATGCCATGGCATGAGCCCAGGTTTGGGTGAACTCACAGGAACACAGAGAACCAGAACTTTTCAATCAACACTGTGTATTGTGGTCCAACATTGCAAAAACAAATGCCAGTCATCATGAACATCACATTATATCTAAACTTTTGCTATTGCTTCCCTGTGGCGTGTATCTAAGTGCGTCATCATTTTAGTTCCTACCTGTTGAAGACATTTTCGCTGAAGGCATATTTCTCTAGTCTCCCCAGGGGGGTGAGATTGTCCTGCCCTGCATCCAGAAAAGCTGTGATCCGAATCCCGTCGCACTCCGATCCATAGTCATCAAACCCAACTATAAGGGAGGGAAAAATCACAACTTTACAAACATGTTTGTTCACGATGAAGTGAGTGAGTGTGGAGACTAGGTGAGTAAGCACTTTCATCTGGACAAGGAACCACTGCTATCAGAATAGGCTGTGTTAGAATTATTATATTGATATCAGTACGCTTTGGGGTGATCCTGGCGCAAGTAGTAAGACACCACATTTAACCTCAATATACAGTGCATTCTGAAGGTATTCAGACCCCTTGACTTTTTCCACATTTGTTACGTTACAGCCTTATTCTAAAATTGATTAAAACATTTTTTTTATCCTCATTCATCTACACACAACACCCCCATAATGTTTGCAAATGTATTTATTTTTAAAAACAGAAAAACCTTATTTACATTAGTATTCAGACCCTTTGATATGAGACTCGAAATTGAGCTCAGGTGAATCCTGTTTCCATTGATCATCCTTGAGATGTTTCTACAACTTGATTGGAGTCCACCTGTGGTAAATTCAATTGATTGGACATGATTTGGAAAGGCACACACCTGCATATATAAGGTCCCACATTTCACAGTGCATATCAGAGCAAAAACCAAGCCATGAGGTCAAATGAATTGTGCGTAGAGCTCTGAGACAGGATTGTGTCGAGGCACAGATCTGGGGAAGGGTACCAAAACATTTCTGCAGCATTGAAGGTCCCCAAGAACACAGTGGCCTCCATCATTCTTAAATGGAAGAAGTTTGGAACCACCAAGACTCTTCCTAGAGCTGGCCACCCGGCCAAACTGAGCAATCAGGGGGAGAAGGGCCTTGGTAAGGGAGGTAACCAACAACCCGATGGTCACTCTGACAGAGCTCCAGAGTTCCTCTTTTGGGATGGGAGAACCTTCCAAAAGGACAACCATCTCTGCAGCACTCCACCAATCAGGCCTTTATAGTATAGTGGCCAGATGGAAGACACTCCTCAGTAAAAAGGCACATGACAGCCCGCTTGGAGTTTGCCAAAAGGCACCTAAAGGACTCTCAGACCATGAGAAACAAGATTCTCTGGTCTAATGAAACCAAGATTGAACTCTTTGGCCTGAATGCAAAGCGTCACGTCTGGAGGAAACCTGGCACCATCCTCACGGTGAAGCATGGTGGTGGCAGCATCATGCTGTGGGGATGTTTTTCAGCGGCAGGGACTGGGAGACTAGTCAGGATCGAGGGAAAGATGAACGGAGCAAAGTACAGAGAGATCCTTGATGAAAACCTATTCCAGAGCGCTCAACCTCAGACTGGTGAGAAGGTTCACCTTCCAACAGGACAATGACCCCTAAGCACACAGCCAATACAATGCAGGAGTAGCTTCGGGACCTGAATGTCCTTTAGTGGCCCAGCCAGAGCCCGGACTTGAACCCGTTCGAACATCTCCTGAGACCTGAAAATAGCTGTACAGCGACACTCCCCATCCAACCTGACAGAGCTCGAGAGGATCTCAAATCAAATCAAACTTTATTTGTCACATGCGCCGAATACAACCTGTGTAGACCTTACCATGAAATGCTTAATTACAAGCCATTAAACAACAATGCAGTTCAAGAAAGAGTTAAGATAATATTTACCAAATAAACTAAAGTAAAAAAGAATAAAAAGTAACATAATAAAATAACAATAACGAGGCAATATACAGGGGGTACCAGTACAGAGTCAATGTGCAGGGGTACAGGTTAGTCGAGGTAATATGTTTATGTAGGTAAGGGTAAAGTGACTATGCATAGATAATAGACAGCGGGTGGCAGCAGCGTAAAAACAAATGGGGGGGTCCAATGTAAATAGTCCGGGTGGCCAGTTGATTAATTGTTCAGCAGTCTTATGGCTTGGGGGTAGAAGCTGTTAAGGAGCCTTTTGGTCAAATGTTTTGGGCTTTCCTCTGACACTGCCTAGTATATAGGTCCTGGGTGGCAGGAAGCTTGGCCCCAGTGATGTACTGGGCCGTACGCGTTACCCTCTGTAGCGCCTTACGGTCAGATGCCGAGCAGTTGCCACACCAGGCGGTGATGCAACCGGTCAGGATGCTCACGATGGTGCAGCTCTATAACTTTTTGAAGATCTGGGGACCCATGCCAAATCTTTTCAGTCTCCTGAGGGGGAAAAGGTGTTGTCGTGCCCTCTTCACGAATGTCTTGGTGAATTTGGACCATGATAGTTTTTTGGTGATGTGGACACCAAGGAACTTGAAACCCTCGACCCGCTCCACTACAGCCCCGTCGATGTCAATGGGGGCCTGTTCGGCCCGCCTTTTCCTGTAGTCCACGATCAGCTCCTTTGTCTTGCTCACGTTGAGGGAGAGGTTTTTGTCCTGGCACCACACTGCCAGGTCTCTGACCTCCTCCCTATAGGCTGTCTCATCGTTGTGGGTGATCAGGCCTACTACTGTTGTGTCGTCATCAAACTTAATGATGGTATTGGAGTCGTGTTTGGCCACGCAGTCGTGGGTGAACAGGGAGTACAGGAGGGGACTGAGCACGCACCCGAGGGGCCCCAGTGTTGAGGATCAGCGTGGTAGACGTGTTGTTACCTACCCTCACCACCTGGGGGCGGCCCGTCAGGATGTCCAGGATCCAGTTGCAGAGGGAGGTGTTTAGTCCCAGGGTCCTTAGAAGAATGGGAGAAACTCCCCAAATACAGGTGTGCCAAGCTTGTAGCGTCATACCCAAGAAGACTCGAGGCTGTAATCGCTGCCAAAGGTGCTTCAACAAAGTACTGAGTAAAGGGTCTGAATACTTATGTAAATGTGATATTTCCGTTTTTTATTTTTAATAAATTTGAACAATTTTCTAAAAAACTGTTTTTTCTTTGTCATTATGGGGTATTGTGTGATGAGGGGGGGGGGGAAACTATTCAATCAATTTTAGAATAAGGCTGTAACATAACAAAATTTGGAAAAAGTGACAGCTATTGCACTGCCTGTTTCAGTTACAAAATGAGTAGCCTATGTGGTTTCATCACCATAGACAAGATGGATAGATGGATGGATATTGCTAATAACAGCTTGCCTGAACCCAGAGGGAGGGATCTAACACAAAGTCAGGGTGTAGTCTAGCGGTTAAGAGCGTTGGGCCAGTAACTGAAAGGTCGCTGGTTCGAATCCCCGAGCTGACTATGTGAAGAAAACAAATCTGTCGATGTGCCTTTGAGCAAGGCACTTAACCATAAATGCTACTGTAAGTCGCTGTAGATAAAATGTAAAGGCGTTACATTTCATGTGGACAAAGTGGATCAACCAGAAACTACAGGCTTCCCTCACCACACTGTGGAAGGTGTCAGTAAAAGCCTGCATTGTATGTCTCAGTAAGTCTTTCTACATGAACTTCACAATAATTCAACATGGTATTTGAAACATATTGGTGAGGGGGAATACTCACAGTCATCCAAATCATCATGACCATCTTCAAAATATAAAGACAGACCTGCAAAATGGAATGGTGATGAGTACAGATTTTACAAACATGTAATCAACATACCTTCAGCTACAACACTACATGGGGATTAGCTAATACATTAACTGTTACTATTTAATGTAGGAGAGAAAAGGGGAAAGCTAGCTAAAAAACTAGCAGTCATTCAATCTTCTCTGTAACAGTTGAGATAATGGGACAATTCGGAGTACAACGCATTTCTCATCCTTGGATTGAGGTATGTTTTCCAAGCCATATCGTGCATCGTCTCTGCTGTGTCTAAATACAAATAAGATTAAAATCAACAACAGTTGGTTATTATGTAATTTCTGATGTCATACTGAGTACGTGTTATAAGATGATGGTCATACCAAGAATATTTAGCTATTTGATTTAGAATTCTAGGACCCCTTAAGGCATAAAAATATATATATATATATATATATATATATATATATATACACATACAGTTGGAAGTCGGAAGTTTACATACACTTAGATTGGAGTCATTAAAACTAGTTTTTCAACCACTCCACAAATTCTTGTTAACAAACTATATTTGTGCACGACACAAATAATTTTCCAACAATTGTTTACAGACTTATAAGTGAAATTATCTTTCACTGCATCACAATTCCAGTGGGTCAGAAGTTTACATCCACTAAGTTGACTGTGCCTTTAAACAGCTTGGAAAATTCCAGAAAATGATGTCATGGCTTTAGAAGCTTCTGTTAGGCAAATTGACATAATTTGAGTCAATTTCAGGTATACCTGTGGATGTATTTCAAGGCCTACCTTCAAACTCAGTGCCTCTTTGCTTGACATCATTGAAAAAACTAAATAAATCAGCCAAGACCTCAGAAACAAAATTGTAGACCTCCACAAGTCTGGTTCATCCTTGGGAGCAATTTCCAAACGCCTGAAGGACCAGGTTCATCTGTACAAACAATAGTACGCAAGTATAAACACCATGGGACCACGCAGCCGTCATACCGCTCAGGAAGGAGACACGTTCTGTCTCCTAGAGATGAACGTACTTTGGTGCGAAAAGTGCAAATCAATCCCAGAACAACAGCAAAGGACCTTGTGAAGATTTCCTATATCGACAGAACCTGAAAGGCCGCTCAGCAAGGAAGAAGCCACAGCTCCAAATCCGCCATAAAAAAGTCAGACTACGGTTTGCAACTGCACATGGGGACAAAGATCGTACTTTTTGGAGAAACGTCCTCTGGTCTGATGAAACAAAAATAGAACTGTTTGACCATAATGACCATCGTTATGTTTGGAGGAAAAAGGGGAATGCTTGCAAGCCGAAGAACACCATCCCAACCGTGAAGCACGGGGGTGGCAGCATCATGCTGTGGGGGTGCTTTGCTGCAGGAGGGACTGGTGCACTTCACAAAATAGATGGCATCATGAGGAAGGAAAATTATGTGGATATATTGAAGCAACATCTCAAGACATCAGTCAGGAAGCTTGGTCGCAAATGAGTCTTCCAAATGGACAATGACCCCAAGCATACTTCCAAAGTAGTGGCAAAATGGCTTAAGGACAACAAAGTCAAGGTATTGGAGTGGCCATCACAAATCTCTGACCTTAATCCTATAGAAAATGTGTGGGCAGAAAAAGCATGTGCGAGCAAGGAGGCCTACAAACCTAACTCAGTTACACCAGCTCTGTCAGGAGGAATTGGCCAAAATTCACCCAACTTATTGTGGGAAGCTTGTGGAAGGCTATGTGAAACGTTTGACCCAAGTTAAACAATTTAAAGGCAATGCTACCAAATACTAATTGAGTGTATGCAAACTTCTGACCCACTGGGAATGTGATGAAAGAAATAAAAGCTGAAATAAATCATTCTCTCTACTATTTCTGACATTTCACATTCTTAAAATAAAGTGGTGATCCTAAATGACCTAAGACAGGGAATTTTTACTAGGATTAAATGTCAGGAATTGTGAAAAACTGAGTTTAAATGTATTTGGCTAAGGTGTATGTAAACTTCCGACTTCAACTGTACAACATCTCTTTCCCATAAAATAAATGTTTGAATTTTCAAACTAGTTTTTACTGGGAAGGTAGATAAAGCGTTTTTATCAAAAGGAATCACATTTGCATGGAAAAAAACAGAATCCTACTAATTACTACACATGCTTAATTAATCCTCTTAGATGTAAAAAAAAAAAAAAAAAATATCCCCTGTTTAGGGGACCTGCGTGGTTCTGGTACCGGTTTACAACCTACATTTTCGCTTATAAATCGATCTGTGGACACCGTAGATCAATATGGCTTGCATTGAGTGATAGCCCTGGTTCCCACGGACACAGTAGTATATTCTCTGAGCCTGTGTGACGTAGGATGTGAAATCTGAAACCACTTGAACCCTACGTCACAGCCACCAAGAAAGCACATGCCTGCAATCCTTACATCGTAGCGCAGCAGGAGAGTGGTTTCCTCACTGTAGCACATTCATAGCTCGATTTATAAACATAATTCATCGATTTTAAACAAAAAACACATTATGTTTCTCATAGACAGACAATATGAATACGAGATTAAAAGGTGAGTTCCTAACGAGTTCAGAAAGCCAACCTAGAGCTCTGTGAGACATTCAGTGATGGGGACAGATGTTTTGTTTAAGAGAGACCTTTAGAAAATATGCACAATTTCTCTAACACTAAACACACAAATATGTATTTTACAGTTATAAGGTGAAATCTTATAGTTAGTAATTTTATGATTTGATTATACTATATTTAGAAAGCATACAAGTCATTTCAAGCCTTATTCATACAGTTTTGTTGAATAGGAAATACATACAATATTTCATAGTTTCATACAGTGCCTTGCAAAAGTATTCATCCCCCTTGGCGTTTTTCCTATTTTGTTGCATTACAACCTGTAATTTAAATGGATTTTTATTTTGATTTCATATGTAATGGACAAACACAAAATAGTCCAAATTGGTGAAGTGAAATGAAAAAAAAAAACTTGTTTCAAAAATTTCTAAAAAAATAAATAACGGAAAAGTGCATATGTATTCACCCCCTTTGCTATGAAGCTCCTAAAGAAGATCTGGTGCAACCAATTACCTTCAGAAGTCACGGAATTAGTTAAATAAAGTCCACCTGTGTGCAATCTAAGTGTCACATGATCTTAGATATACACCTGTTCTGAAAGGCCCCAGAGTCTGAAACACCACTAAGCAAGGGGCACCACCAAGCAAGCGGCACCATGAAGACCAAGGAGCTCTCCAAACAGGTCAGGGACAAAGTTGTGGAGAAGTACAGATCAGGGTTGGGTTATAAAAAAATATCTGAAACTTTGAACATCCCACGGAGCACCATTAAATCCATTATTAAAAAATTTAAAGAATATGGCACCACAACAAACCTGCCAAGAGAGGGCCGCCCACCAAAACTCACAGACCAGGCAAGGAGGGCATTAATCAGAGAGGCAACAAAGAGACCAAAGATAACCCTGAAGGAGCTGCAAAGCTCCACAGCGGAGATTGGAGTATCTGTCCATAGGACCACTTTAAGCCGTACACTCCACGAGTGGCCAGAAAAATGCCATTGCTTAAAGAAAACAATAAGCAAACACGTTTGGTGTTCACCAAAAGGCATGTGGAAGACTCCCCAAACATATGTAAGAAGGTACTCTGGTCAGATGACACTTAAATTGAGCTTTTTGGCCATCAAAGGAAACGCTATGTCTAGCACAAACTCAACACCTCTCATCACCCCGAGAACACCATCCCCACAGTGAAGCATGGTGGTGGCAGCATTTCCATCGTCAGGGACTGGGAAACTGGTCAGACTTGAAGAAATAATGGATGGCGCTAAATACAGGGAAATTCTTGAGGGAAACCTGTTTCAGTCTTCCAGAGATTTGAATAGTTATGAACGCACAAGTTCGGTTTTTTTTGACTTATTTTTGACATACACAATAAACAAAATGTGCATCTTCAAAGTGATGGGCATGTTGTGTAAATTAAATGATACAAACCCCCCCAAAATCCATTTTATTTCCAGGTTGTAAGGCAACAAAATAGGAAAAATGCCAAGGGGGGTGAATACTTTCGCAAGCCACTGTATATGCTTATCATATGTATACTGTGTACTTGAGCTTATATCCTCAAAAGTGACTACACCTCAGCAATTTATAACTATTTTTATCAAAAAGGTGAGATTTTAACCTTTCTTGGCATATGCATCATTACTAGTTATTGTTAATGGCCCTCTCATGATAAATAATTACTTTTGGGATTACGTAGATTACATTTCCCATTACATTTAACTGTTTTTAATACAATGTCACTTTTGTTTTGAGCCAACTTCGCAGTGGGACAGAGCGGGGCACCTGGCTCACACCTGGGAGGCAGTCAGGTTCCAAATCGAATGCAAGGGCGAGATTACTCTAACCCCTTCAATATACACAGGAATGCTGTCTGACTTTAGTACAGCTGTAAACAAGCGAGTCGGATTTGCTGGCTAGCAGGCGTCTAGCCTAATCCAGTGGTAACAAGTAAGACCACATAAAAGTGCAGTGGCCAGCTGCCAATGGTAATAAAACATAGAATTAGGAACTGTTCCTCCAAACTCCAAAACAAACTCTTCCCATAACAATTTAGTTTATACTGTTTCAGCCAATGAAAATAACGAACTAACATAAGCTATGTGGCTAATTCGCGTTACTGTAAAGTTATTTACGGTTGCCAAATCACAATGTAGCTTGCTAGCTACATGTCTTTGTTTTGAGCTGGATTTGGTATGCCAAGATATCGGCGTAGTGGCTAGCTAGCTAGCTAAATCAACTGGCTAATTTAGCAAGCTAGCTAGTTAGCTAGCTAGCCAGATACAGTACCTTGAAAACAAGTCGACATGACATATTTAGCTAACATTACATATTAGCTAGACCTAACACATTATAGCTACAACCCATACCAAGAAACAACATGTGCAGTGTTAGTGTTGTCAACAACAAGCAGATACAAATACTAGAACTTGCTAGCTAGCTTTCCCTTTCGCTTGAAAACACAGCTTGCTGCCCATGTAGCAAGCTATCCTTAGTTCTTGAAAACAACACACAACAAAGGTAGAAATTATGCGTCAATGTAGCCGAATTTTCATAAAAGACACCCTAAACGGTATTTTCACAGACACGATTTCGTTCAAGTTTCGAAAAAATGTTATTACGATAGCTAGCTACCCACATACCTGCCATCTTGATTATCTGCTCGGTGATCTACCATTTGGGCTGTTACCATAGAGAATGATAGAGGCCTCTAGTGGCCAAAAGGCCATCTTAGCATGGGCAGTGCCATTGAGGGCTTCCACCATTTTAACAAAGACAGTACAGTATAGCTGCAGTCCAAACAAACGATTTTTACCCCCGCAGCCCTCGCGCTAACCACTTTCCCTTGGGTAATCCCCATCGAAACCGGATGCAGTTTGATTGCCATCTTAAGTGGAGGTCCAATTCACTAACGTTTCCCCCTCTGCCCTCGATTTAGCTTAAGGGAGCGAGTGAAGAACTTTGATCACTTGTGGGGTTGATATGACCCACAATTCAATGCAAACTGTAGTCCCGTGTCATACTCCGGGCCGCAAAGTGTCACATTTAATCAACACAGCATGTGAGATAAAATTATGACGCTAGCTTGTTAAAAAAATATATGTAGATGACATTGATTTTAATATTGGCAAATTGGCTTAGTCTCGTAGTGAGAAGCCTATAAAACGTAGCTAGCTTCTTAAAAATAAATAAAAAATAAATGATCAAACTATAAAACTAGCCAGCCATCTATGGGTAACTGTAGCTAGCTAGCTAGCTACCTGACAGGAGTGCTAGCTAGCTAGGTTAGCTTGCTAGGTACATTAATAGCTTTAGGTTGGTTGTTTTTAAGCTCAATTTCAAGATTTCCACCAAGAATTTCCACCAAGGATGTGACGATGTAAAACATAATTCAAGGGATGAGGATTTAGGCCCGAGGGCTGTCGACTTTGAATTTGGACTGCAGCCTATGAAGACAGGCTAAAACTGCTTCTCCAATGGAAATCCCCAATCACACTTGTAGGTGATGTCATGGTGGTATTGGCAAGCTCATGCGTAGAAACACGTCATCGGTTCTAACGGTCGTCTCACGCCAAACTGCGAATGTGCAGGCCGTCAAATCAAAGGTTGGAGTAATAACATGTTCAACTACTTAAGACATTGGCTCAAATATATGTTGTGCCATAAGATTTCGAGAAAATGAACAACTAATACATTTTCTGTTGTATTTTTGACTTTATGTTTTGTTTTACCCCATATGTAACTCTGTGTTGTTGTTTTTATTGCACTGCTTTGCTTTATCTTGGCCAGGTTGTAGTTGTAAATGAGAACTTGTTCTCAACTGACTTACCTGGTTAAATAAAGGTCAAATAAAATAAATAAGGAATAATTTTTCACTTCTCTCATAGACTTCTCAAACCCCAAACCCCGGCTTGGTCTGTTTGGCAAGTGATTCCAGAAATCTGGCGATGTTGCGCCTCTGGGTTTAAAAACTCAACCGCTGTCACAGACGCTATAATGGCACAGATACAAAGATGAGTCCCCTATCTATCTCTATGACTTTCATTCAACGTTGACAAAACTACTTCCTGAAAGTACTTCCTGATGTTGTTTTTCATGTTTTTTTTATCAAGTAAACAATAATGTAGTTAAATATGTAGGAAAATCTACGTTGGGATAATTGCAACGAAAATAATGAAATCGTGTTGGCTTCATACATTGCTAAACAAAAAATATCCATGGAGTGTCACATGACACGACATTGGACCGTAGTTCAAGATGGTGTCTATGCGCCGTATTTTGTAGCTTTCCAGCTACAGTAATCATAATATGAGAAATTATATCAGTGATTTTTTAACGTTGAGAGGTTAAGGAGTTTATTTTTCTTTGTTTCTCGTCAATCTGTATGGGATTTGCATATAGTTATTTGATTAAAATAGAGGTTATTTGCTAGAAATCTGTCTAACTTAAACATCTAACGTTAGCTAGCTAGCAATCGGTTAAGTGGTTGGAATGTTCATAAACGTTCTATTAATTTGGAGATCGATATGACGTTGAGAGAGTTAAAAGTTTGTCTTCTTGGGGTAAGACAACAATCTTATTTGTATTCATCTAACTATGTATTATCTGTTCATTCAGATTGGAGTATTTCAAGTGACAGAAGCCACAGCAATGCAGCATACTGGCTAAAAGTTTTGTGCACCGTACTAGCTAATGTTTAGCTGACTAAACTCCCCTCCATGGTTAAGGACGTTTCTGATGAACTCCACCAACGGAGTGGAGCAGAGACCAGTTCATCAGAAACTTCCTTCACCATGGAGTGGAGTTTAGTCAGCGAGCTAATATTGAAATGACATGACTTTGACCCTGACTGAAGGCTTTACTTTTATCATGTTCAAGTAGAAGTCTATTTTACCCCCCTTTTTCTCCCCAATTTCGTCATATCCAATTACGATCTTTTCTCATCGCTGCAACTCCCTAACGGGCTCAGGAGAGGCGAAGGTCGAGTCATGCATCCTCCGAAACATTACCCGCCAAACCACGCTCCTAAACATCCGCCCGCTTTAACCGGAAGCCAGCCGCACCAATGTGTCGAAGGAAACACTGTTCAACTGATGACCGAAGTCAGTCTGCAGTCGCCCGGCCCACCACAAGGAGTTGCTAGAGCGCGATGAGTCAAGTAAAGCCCCCCCGGCCAAACCCGCCCCTAACCCGGACGACGCTGGGCCAATTGTGCGCCGCCCTATGGGACGGCCGGTTGTGACACAGCCTGGGATCGAACCCGGGTCTGTAGTGACGCCTCAATACCGCTGCGCAACTCGGGAGGCCGTCATTAACTATTTAAAGGAATTCTGTGTCAAATATGAACTCCGAACCTGAACCCAATACCACACTGACCAATATGTGTACAGTTGCACCTCTTTTTCAAGTCACATTGATACACATTACATTTTGAATGTATTGCACAAGTGTTGCGCAATATTTGCAACATAGTAGCAGGAATACTTCTTCTTGAACCAGTGGGGTTTTCTCTTCACATAATGATGTCATCCTGATGATGATTAATGGTCTGTGTGGCCTTAGCAGTAACCAAGTATGGATGGATTCTTGGATGAATTCTAACATTCACTAAACTCCTTTCTCTTGTGATTCTTCAGGACACTGGGGTTGGAAAGTCAAGCATTGTTTGGAGGTTTGTGGAGGACAACTTTGACCCCAACATTAATCCAACTATTGGGTAAGTTATAGTTCTTCACCCACTGTAAATATCCTGGAAGAATTATTGCCTAACCTACAAGGTCCAACCGAAATTTGACTTACACTTTTAAACCCAACCGCTCCGAAAAATACACACATACAGTACATGCATAGGTTTTTGGAGAGGTGAGAGGGGCTGCCACACTGGGCGCCCAGGGAGCTGTTGTTGTGGGGAGTTAAGTGCCTTGCTTAAGGGTACAACGGCAGGCAATGGCATCTAGGATTTGATTCCAGTAACCCTCCGGTTGCCAGCTCACTTCCCGCCAGATTTTTTCCGTCGGATCCAGGATTCGAACTGGCAACCCTCCGGTTGCTGACTTGCCTCTCTAACCTGCCACCCCTTACTGCACTGCCTGCCGATGCTTTGAGAAATACATTTAGAAAATGTATGCACAGATTGGGATTTGTTGGGGGTTGGTGTATGTGGAGGGGGAGGTGTTCTGTTCATGTTACATTCTCAGTAATGTCATCCCGGTCTAATTAATTTATAGCCTGGCCTCAAATCGGTTTCTGCTATCATGTCAAGTCATGACAACGAGTGTCAAAGAGTTGACATGATCGCACAAACAGATCTGGGACCAGGCTAATCAATGTATCACTTTTTTTTTTGTGATGGATTAAAGGGGTGAGCCTTATTGTACGCTCAACAAAAATATAAACGGAACATGCAACAATTTCAAAAGATTTTACTGAGTTACAGTTCATATAAGGAAATCAGTAAATTTAAATAAATGAGGCCCTAATCTATGGATTACACATGACTGGGAATACAGATATGCATCTGTTGGTCACAGATACCTTTAGGGCGTGGATCAGAAAACCAGTCAGTATCTGGTGTGACCACCATTTGCCTCATGCAGCACGACACATCTCCTTCGCATAGAGTTGATCAGGCTGTTGATTGTGGCCTGTGGAATGTTGTCCCACTCCTCTTCAATGGCTGTGCGAAGTTGCTGGATATTGGTAGGAACTGGAACACGCTGTCGTACACGTCGATCCAGAGCATCCCAAACATGTTCAATGGGTGACATGTCTGGTGAGTATGCAGGCCATGGAAGAACTGGGACATTTTCAGCTTCCAGGAATTGTGTACAGATCCTTGCAACATGGGGCCGTGCATTATCATGCTGAAACATGAGGTGATGGTGGCGGATGAATGGCACGACAATGGGCCTCAGGATCTCGCCACGTTATCTCTGGGCATTAAAATTGCCATCGATAAAATGCAATTGTGTTCGTTGTCTGTAGCTTATGCCTGCCCATACCATAACCCCACCGCCACCATGGGGTACTCCGTTCACAACGTTGACTTAACAAACCGCTTGCCAACACGACTGTCTGCCATCTGCCGGTACAGTTGAAACCAGGATTTATCCGTGAAGACTTCTCCAGCATGCTAGTGGCCATCGAAGGGGAGCATTTTCCCACTGACGATGCCAAACTGCAGTCAGGTCAAGACCCTGGTGCGGACGATGAGCACGCAGATGAGCTTCCCTGAGAAGGTTTCTGACATTTTGGGCAGAACTTCTTCGGTTGTGCAAACCCACAGTTTCATCAGCTGTCCAGGTGGCAGCTCTGGTGGACATGGTGGCAGTCAGCCTGCCAATTGCATGCTCCCTCAACTTGATATCTGTGGCGTTGTGTGACAGGACTGCACACTTTAGAGTGGCCTTTTAATGTCCCCAGCACAAGGTGCACCCGTGTAATGATCATGCTGTTTAATCAGCTTCTTGATATGCCACACCTGTCAGGTGGATGGATTATCTTGGCGAACGAGAAATGCTCACTAACAGGGATGTAAACAAATTTGTGCACAAAATTAGAAAGAAATACGATATATGTGAACTTTTATTTCAGCTCATGAAACATGGCACCAACACTTTACATGTTGCGCTTATATTTTTGTTCAGTGTAATAAACTAGTGGTTCCCAACTCCGGTCCTCCAGTACCCCCAACAGTACAAAAGTGTTATGTAGCCCCGGACAAGCACACCTGAGTCAACTTGGCAACTTATCATCAGGCCTCTGAATTGAATCAAGTACTGTATGTTTGTCCGGGGCTACAACAAAAATGTGTGCTGTTTGGGGTACTGGAAGACCGGAGTTGGGAACCACTGTATTAAACCAGGTTAACATTATCTTGAAATGTGACTCACATTGTATGGTTATTTTTGTTTTCCAGGGCATCCTTCATGACAAAGACGGTGCAGTATCAAAATGAGCTTCACAAATTCCTCATCTGGGACACGGCAGGGCAAGAGAGAGTTAGTAATCATCTCTCTCTTTTACCTTTTAAAATATCTTTGCTCCAGATGAAGTGGTCCCTGTTAGACATAGGCCTTGTTTGAGTAAAAATGCATCCTTCCTTCCTCACTCACTTCAATGAGGTAGCCTAATTACTGATCTCACATGATAGGTGAAATCAACATATTGGAAGTATTGCTGTCACTGACCTATCCAAGCAGGTTCGATCAGAGAAGGAAGGAAGAAAACATGTCTAAGGAATTTGAACAGGGCCGTGGAGGTCTAAGTTGGAGGCACACACTTGCAAGTGCAGTAATTCATTGTGCCTGATAGGGGGCAATATTTAGCTTACATTTAGCTGCCCCCACCAAAACATCCCCAGCTCGCTCATGCCTGCAGTCATTTCGTAAGGCCCTTCCTTTCCTGTAGTTGAGTAGTAGGTTATGCTATCATGGTTCGTGCATTCTCAAGATCACTACTGTCTGTTTAGTCTAGTAGATTAAATACATATGCCTGTCATGTTCTAGAAACTTCTCTTTCCTTTCTCACTCTCTTCCACAACAAACTTTCACTCTCAGCTATTAGTGATGGGGGAAAAAATCGATGCACTTTCATATTACCATATTATTTTGGGACTAAATTATATAGATATTTGACTCCAGGTATCGATTTGTAAGGTAGCGTTAGCTAGCGCTAGTCAGCTGTACCTCTGCCAAAACGCTGATATTTTCATCCTCTAGCTTGTTCTCCATCTTCTTTTTAAATAGTGAGCCAGCATGTTTTCATCACTTTTATTTCCTTGACTGATCAAATCTAATTTTCTCATGGCTTTCTCTTGTCTCTCTGCAGCAGACATATAGTGAGCAATATGTTTGGACATCAAATTGCAATATCGAATTGCAATACATATAGAATCGTGAGAATCGCAATACATATCGTATCGGCACCTAAGTATCAAGATGATACCGGATCCTGAGGTCCCTGGTAATTTCCAGCTCTATCAGCTATACAGTGGGGGAAAAAAGTATTTAGTCAGCCACCAATTGTGCAAGTTCTCCCACTTAAAAAGATGAGAGAGGCCTGTAATTTTCATCATAGGTACATGTCAACTATGACAGACAAAATGAGAAAAAAAAATCCAGAAAATCACATTGTAGGATTTTTTATGAATTTATTTGCAAATTATGGTGGAAAATAAGTATTTGGTCAATAACAAAAGTTTCTCAATACTTTGTTATATACCCTTTGTTGGCAATGACACAGGTCAAACATTTTCTGTAAGTCTTCACAAGGTTTTCACACACTGTTGCTGGTATTTTGGCCCATTCCTCCATGCAGATCTCCTCTAGAGCAGTGATGTTTTGGGGCTGTCGCTGGGCAACACGGACTTTCAACTCCCTCCAAAGATTTTCTATGGGGTTGAGATCTGGAGACTGGCTAGGCCACTCCAGGACCTTGAAATGCTTCTTACGAAGCCACTCCTTCGTTGCCCGGGCGGTGTGTTTGGGATCATTGTCATGCTGAAAGACCCAGCCACGTTTCATCTTCAATGCCCTTGCTGATGGAAGGAGGTTTTCACTTAAAAATTCACGATACATGGCCCCATTCATTCTTTCCTTTACACGGATCAGTCGTCCTGGTCCCTTTGCAGAAAAACAGCCCCAAAGCATGATGTTTCCACCCCCATGCTTCACAGTAGGTATGGTGTTCTTTGGATGCAACTCAGCATTCTTTGTCCTCCAAACACGACGAGTTGAGTTTTTACCAAAAAGTTCTATTTTGGTTTCATCTGACCATATGACATTCTCCCAATCCTCTTCTGGATCATCCAAATGCACTCTAGCACACTTCAGACGGGCCTGGACATGTACTGGCTTAAGCAGGGGGACACGTCTGGCGCAGCAGGATTTGAGTCCCTGGCGGCGTAGTGTGTTACTGATGGTAGGCTTTGTTACTTTGGTCCCAGCTCTCTGCAGGTCATTCACTAGGTCCCCCCGTGTGGTTCTGGGATTTTTGCTCACCGTTCTTGTGATCATTTTGACCCCACGGGGTGAGATCTTGCGTGGAGCCTCAGATCGAGGGAGATTATCAGTGGTCTTGTATGTCTTCCATTTCCTAATAATTGCTCCCACAGTTGATTTCTTCAAACCAAGCTGCTTACCTATTGCAGATTCAGTCTTCCCAGCCTGTTGCAGGTCTACAATTTTGTTTCTGGTGTCCTTTGACAGCTCTTTGGTCTTGGCCATAGTGGAGTTTGGAGTGTGACTGTTTGAGGTTGTGGACAGGTGTCTTTTATACTGATAACAAGTTCAAACAGGTGCCATTAATACAGGTAACGAGTGGAGGACAGAGGAGCCTCTTAAAGAAGAAGTTACAGGTCTGTGAGAGCCAGAAATCTTGCTTGTTTGTAGGTGACCAAATAGTTATTTTCCACCATAATTTGCAAATAAATTCATAAAAAATCCTACAATGTGATTTTCTGGATTTTGTTTTCTAAATTTGTCTGTCATAGTTGACGTGTACCTATGATGAAAATTACAGGCCTCTCTCATATTTTTAAGTGGGAGAACTTGCACAATTGGTGGCTGACTAAATACTTTTTTTCCCCACTGTATGTGCTGCGTCAATGGAGCGCAGTCCACATTATGCTAAAGCTTATCTTCTATGTGCATCGTCTGTTGAACTGTCAAGACGAGTGGTTCATCAGCAGTCATAACGTGAGAGTCGAAAGTCTAGGGGCCACTCGCAACATGATCTGCTGTGATGTTTGTCTGCGACAAATCATCTGCTGTGATGCTAAATCTGGAATGCCTTGTAGCCCGCACAGACAGACCGCACGACTGAAATAGATTATCTTTCAAAACATACACTATATGAGTAATAGAACACGGTCTAGAAACATATCATGCATTTATACTAATAAAACACTCCAACTCTGTTGTATACAGATCTGGAACCAGGCTAATACACAACACGCCTGGTTCCAGATGGGTTTGTGCCATATAGCCAACTTTCTCTGGTCGTTGTCATAACAAACATCCCATTTGGCATGCCATTTACGGTCTATTTCCTGTTAGTACAATGGCCTCTTCCCCTGCTAGTACAATGGACTATTCCCCTGCTAGTACAATGGACTATTCCCCTGCTAGTACAATGGACTATTCCCCTGCTAGTACAATGGCCTCTTCCCCTGCTAGTACAATAGTCTATTCCCCTGCTAGTACAATGGACTATTCCCCTGTCTTGTCCTCTGGAGAGGGGTGGTGAGATAAAACAGTGTTTGTCTTCTGTTCTGAGCTTGTCCGGGGGCGTGGCCTTAAGGGAAAATCAATTAAGCTTTGATTAAGATAAGACAGACAGATTAAATCCGAGCTGCCTCTGCCTGCTCCCCGGTTCCAACTCGTCCACTGCCACTCTCCTCCTCTTTCTCTCTCTATCTCTGGATAGGTATATTCAGGGTAGTGGTGAAGCCCACACCATATTGCTTAGGTTACAGATCTATAGATCTAGGGCCAAAAGGAAGGGGTAGGGAACGATTTGGGACTCTATCTCTCACATACTCACTCACGCCGTCTCTCCCAGTCTACCTAGAGTTAGACAGCTGTGAGCGAGAATATGGAAACATTTCTGGTGGCGGGCTGTTGTTCTCCTTCATTGTAAGCTGCAGCCGCTGTGTTTCGAAGCTGATCGCCTCTGGAGAAGTCGTGGGCATCAGAACCAGTTGGTGTAATTAACAGTATTGGAGTTCGGTTGAGAGATTTGGTAGAAGCAGATGGAATGAGAGAGCTGTGGTTAGGCTACTACACAATCTCTGATGGCCTGGAGGGTACATCTTCCTGGCCAGAGACCTCCCATCTCACCATGCTGCTGCACAGAGAAGAAGCTGGGTTCCCCCTCGCTGTCTCCATTCACTGGCATGGACGGGCACCTTTTCATTGGGTGCCAGGCTCATAATTTCAGTAATTAATCTGCACACGCTTAGCAAAATAAGGGGTGCTTTTTATACAGCTCCAGTGTGGCCAGATGTCTGGGCCTGTATCCAGAAAGCCTCTCGGAGTAGGAGTGCTGATTTAGGATCAATTTCACCTTTTTAGATCATAATGAGTAACATTATATGGACAAGTTGGGACCTGACCTAGATCAGCACTCCTCCTCTGAGAGGATGTGGATACGGGCCCTGGTCTTCGCTGCGAAATGCTCTCTGGGCACACTATGGAAGGGGACCACACAAGACTGGCTCTACTGCATCTAGCTACACATCGCTAGCCAGTCAGACAGGCAGCATCCCTTTCCGCCGTCTGCCAAGTATCCCACGTTGGACTCCCTCCGGTAGTCTCGGGGCCAGTAACAACTATAATTGCAAGGAATGTGTGCTTTTCCTGAGGTAACCATGTCATTCCAAGCTGGGATAGTTTATTCCTTTTTATCGTAAAGGAAAATGAGAATTGGCCCAGGTTGTGCCAAGTCAACGTTTGACTGGGATCACTCAAATCAAATCAAATCAAATTGTATTTGTCACATGCGCCGAATACAACAGGGGGAGGACTGCCTACCTGTGATCTCCTTATTTTAGGATTGTTATTGAAGAGGAAGTGTGTGTGTATGTGCACATGTGAGCACACAGTCCTGGTCATGTGGATTGTTGAAATGCATGCTGAAACTAATCACAAGTTGGCTCTTTTCTGATTCACTTTACAGTGAAATGCTTACTTATAAGCCCTTAACCAACAATGCAATTTTAAGAAGGAATACCAACAAAAAAAAAAAGGACAAAAAAATATGAAATAACAAAATAATAAGAAATAAAAGAAACAAATAATTAAAGCAGCAGTAAAATAACAGTAGCGAAGCTTTATACAGGGGGTACCGGTACCGAGTCAATGTATGGGGGCACCGGTTAGTCGAGGTAATATGTACATGTAGGTAGAGTTAAAGTGACTATGCATAGATAATAAATAGAGAATAACAGCAGCGTAAAAGGGGGAGGGGGGGGGAACACAATGCAAATAGTCCGGGTAGGTTTTGATTAGATGTTCAGGAGTCTTGTGGCTTGGGGTTAGAAGCTGTTTAGAAGCCTCTTGGACCTAGACTTGGCGCTCCGGTACCGCTTGCCGTGCGGTAGCAGAGAGAACAGTGTATGACTAGGGTGGCTGGAGTCTTTGAGAATTTCTAGGGCCTTCCTCTGACACCCCCTGGAATAGAGGTCCTGTGATGAACTGGGCCGTACGCACTACCCTCTGTAGTGCCTTGCGGTCGGAGGCCAAGCAGTTGCCATACCAGGCAGTGATGCAACCAGTCAGGATGCTCTCGATGGTGCAGCTGTAGAACTTTTTGAGGATCTGAGGACCCATGCCAAATCTTTTCAGTCTCCTTAGGGGGAATAGGTTTTGTTGTGCCCTCTTTACGACTGTCTTGGTGTGCTTGGACCATGTTAGTTTGTTGGTGATGTGGACACCAAGGAATTTGAAGCTCTCAACCTGCTCCACTACAGCCCTGTCTATGAGAATGGGGGCGTCCTCTTCTTTTTCCTGTAGTCCACAATCATCTCCTTTGTCTTGATCACGTTGAGGGAGAGGTTGTTGTCCTGGCACCACACGGCCAGGTCTCTGACCTCCTCCCTATAGGCTGTCTTGTCGGTGATCAGGCCTACCACTGTTATGTCATCGGCAAACTTAATGATGGTGTTGGAGTCGTGCCTGGCCATGCAGTCATGAGTGAACAGGGAGTACAGGAGGGGACTGAGCACGCACCCCTGAGGGGCCCCCGTGTTGAGGATCAGGGTGACGGATGTGTTGTTACCTACCCTTACCACCTGGGGGCGGCCCGTCAGGAAGTCCAGGATCCAGTTGCAGAGGGAGGTGTTTAGTCCCAGGATCCTTAGCTTAGTGATGAGCTTTGAGGGCACTATGGTGTTGAATGCTGAGCTGTAGTCAATGAATAGCATTCTCACATAGGTGTTCCTTTTGTCCAGGTGTGAAAGGGCAGTGTGGAGTGCAATTGAGATTGCATCATCTGTGGATCTGTTGGGGCAGTATGCAAATTGGAGTGGGTCTAGGCTTTCTGGGATAATGGTGTTGATGTGAGCAATGACCAGCCTTTCAAAGCACTTCATGGCTACAGACGTGAGTGCTACGGGTCGGTAGTCATTTAGGCAGGTTACCTTAGTGTTCTTGGGCACAGGGACTATGGTGGTCTGCTTGAAACATGTTGGTATTACAGACTCAGACAGGGAGAGGTTGAAAATGTCGGTGAAGACACTTGCCAGTTGGTCAGCGCATGCTCGGAGTACACATCCTGGTAATCCGGCCTTGTGAATGTTGACCTGTTTAAAGTTCTTACTCACATTGGCTACGGAGAGCGTGATGACACAGTCGTCCGGAACAGCTGATGCTCTCATGCATGTTTCAGTGTTACTTGCCTCGAAGCGAGCATAGAAGTAATTTAGCTCGTCTGGTAGGCTTGTGTCGCTGGGCAGCTCGCGGCTGGGCAGCTCGCGGCTGTGCTTCCCTTTGGAGTCTGTAATAGTTTGCAAGCCATGCCACATCCGACGAGCGTCGGAGCTGGTGTAGTACGATTCGATCTTAGTCCTGTATTGACTCTTTGCCTGTTTGATGGTTTTTCGGAGGGCTTAGCGGGATTTATTATAAGCTTCCGGGTTAGAGTCCCGCTCCTTGAAAGCGGCAGCTCCACCATTTAGCTCAGTGCGGATGTAGCCTGTAATCCATGGCTTCTGGTTGGGGTATGTACGTACAGTCACAGTGGGGACTGGGGACGACATCATCGATGCACTTATTGATGAAGCCAGTGACTGATGTGGTGTACTCTTCAATGCCATGGGAAGAATCCCGGAACATATTCCAGTCTGTGCTAGCAAAACAGTCCTGTAGCTTAGCATCTGCTTCATCTGACCACTTTTTTATTGACCGAGTCACTGGTGCTTCCTGCTTTAGTTTTTGCTTCTAAGCAGGAATCAGGAGGATAGAATTATGGTCATTTGCCAAATGGAGGGCGAGGGAGAGCTTTGTTCACATCTCTGTGTGTGGAGTAAAGGTGGTCTAGAGTTTTTTTTCCCTCTGGTTGCACATTTAACATGCTGGTAGAAATGAGGTAAAACAGATTTTAGTTTCCCTGCATTAAAGTCCCCGGCCACTCGGAGCGCCGCCTCTGGATGAGCGTTTTCCTGTTTGCTTATGGCCGTATACAGTTAATTGAGTGCAGTCTTAGTGCCAGCATCGGTTTGTGGTGGTAAATAGACAGCTACGAAGAATATAGATGAAAACTCTCTTGGTAGATAGTGTGGTCGACAGCTTATCATGACATACTCTACCTCAGGCGAGCAAAACCTCGGGACTTCCTTAGATATCGTGCACCAGCTGTTGTTTACAAATATACATAGACCGCCACCCCTTGTCTTACCAGAGGCTGCTGTTCTATCCTGCCGATACAGTGTACAACCCGCCAGCTGTATGTTATCCATGTCGTCGTTCAGCCACGACTCGGTGAAACATAAGATATCACAGTTTTTAATGTCTCGTTGGTAGGATATACGTGCTTGTAGTTCGTCCACTTTATTATCAAGCGATTGTACATTGGCCAATAGTATCGATGGCAAAGGCAGATTAGCCACTCGTCGCCGGCTCCTTACCAAGCACCCCGATCTCCTTCCGCGATATCTCCTTTTCTTTCTACTGCGAATGACAGGGATGAGGGCCCTGTCGGGTGTCTGGAGCAAATCCCTCTCGTCCGACTCATTAAAGAAAAATTATAGGTCAAGTTCAAGGTGAGTAATCGCTGTTCTGATGTCCAGAAGCTCTTTTCGGTCATAAGAGACGGTAGCAGCAACATTATGTACAAAATAAGTTACAATCAAAATAGTACAGTTGTTTAAGAGTCCATAAAACGGCAGCCATCCCCTCTGGCGACATTTTCAACTCCTGTTTGTTGTAAAGCTAATCTCTTTATTTCATTAGTTAATACATTACACCCGTATTATTCTGTTCATGTTTAAATATGCTAATTATGTTAGAAGAATTGTGTGGAAGATTATCCTAAGATGTAGGAAGAGCTATCCTAAATGGTAGCCTAACTTATGACAGGTGTGTTCCCTTCCACTTGTCTCTGTTGCAGCTTTCAGTAGATGGTCTGAATGCCATTCATTGTTACTTCTCAGTATACATGATTACGATCATACCAAATTAAACATACGCTGCATGCATTTTCAACAATATCAAAATATTAGAGTTCACCTAATTTGAAAGAGTGAGTCTGAAATTGATTATGAATTAAGATACTTTGTGCCGGTAATTTAGGCTATAGCATGCACACATCTCCTATCCCTTTAAGCTTGACAACAGGTTAAAAACAGTCATCACCAAGACCTTTTGTACTTACCCATCCAGTGTAAGGAAAGGTCTGAAAAATGCATTTGATTTAGAGTTCTATGAAAACAGGCACTTGCTAATTGCGCTGGCATTTTCAAGCCAGAACTCATAAGCTTTTGGAAAATATAGAGCACAGGTAAACATCAGGCAACTCCCCCCCCAACAATGGAATGGGAAATGATGTAGCCTCAGCTTGTTTTTATTATGCAGGGTTTCCTGATCTACTGGGTGAAGACCAAATATATAGTTCTCCATTAATATGAAATGGCTAACTGCTTTTGACACCTTGTGCTCATCTTTCTCCTGATGGCTACCACATGTGAGTCCTCGGAGGAAAGGCTTACCATACTTCCGTGTAACAAAAAGCCACTTGGCATATAGGCTTGGAACAGAAGGCCTTTTGGGGTTTTAAAAAGGTCCTTCGTTTCTCTTTGCTTAGTTTTACCCCTCCATTTTGAGTTGATGTTTTATCTCAAAGACCCTTTCAGGTGAAACAAAGTGAAGTAAGTTATGTAACGGTGACGAAATGTAACCGTATACGGCTTAATAAAGATTGGGTAGTTTGTGACTGTAATGTTTTGGAAATGGGTGGTAGAACGGATTGCAATGCTATTTTGGTAGCCTTTGATTTTCTCATGGATGTCGTCCTATATAAACAATTGCGAGCGATCTAGATACACAATCCTCGAAGATGAGCCAAAAAATTTCTAACATTTTCTTTGAAGTATATAATCTCTTAGGATAAGTCATGTACTCTTACTTTAATTATGATCTACAGTAACACAAACGCATACATGACCCTTGACCTCACCATAACAGTGCAACCGGTTTGGCTGTTGAAAGCTTTAGAAAACCAACTATCTTCTCTGTCCAGAGGGACAGCCTCTTTATTTGAAGAACGATTACAGTCCATTACTCACCGTGCTCTTTCTCCGCTTCTCTCTGCTTTCCCATAGTTCCGTGCGTTGGCGCCAATGTACTACAGAGGCTCTGCGGCAGCCATCATTGTTTATGACATCACTAAAGAGGTAAAGTATTCCCTCGTTTCCCTCTGGTAACATGCTGTTTCATTTACGTCATTTTTATTTTATCCAGAGCGACTTACAAATATGACATTTGTTTAGTTTTTTTTTTTTCTCAAATGATTAAAAAGACACTGCACCACTCTTTTCCATATACTTCCTATGATGTCATCACGGGTCATTTGCTAAATATTTAAGTGATTTTCAAAAGCTATGAGTTTCGGCTCACAGAAACTCCTTCGAAATGACAGATTTATTTTCAAGATGACCCCCGATAAACCCTTTCTTCTTATATTTTTGACTACAGAAAAAAAAAAAGCTCTAAATAGATTGACCTTAGCTAAACTCAGGTATCCATGCCCAGAATGCTGCTGTCAACTGTATGCAACTATGGGGGCCCACTGGTCACTTTGAGTCAAATGTAGGCATGTCCAGTAAACATCTGATACTGTCCACTCTCGCATTTCATGTGGAGAGAGGCACACCCATTTGTCTGCATATCTCGTTTACATCTCCTATGTTTCATGAATGTTTAAACCACACACTCCCACACAGTCATGCGTTGCATTACATTTTCTCAAACTCTGGCATCTTACAATATAAGATGTTTACTATGCCTATATACTGTATACTGTAAAGTTGAGTAAGAATGGCTCGAACCGTGTTTCTCAGGACTCGTTCCAGACGTTGAAGAACTGGGTGAAGGAGCTTCGTCAGCATGGCCCGCCCAACATCGTGGTAGCCATCGCTGGCAACAAGTGTGACCTGTCCGATGCCAGGTAAATACATCCCTCAAGTCCCCCAGGAAGACATGGGTTGTTTCCCCAAATGGCACCCTATTCCATATATAGTGCACTACTTTTGACCAGGGTCCAGGTCTAAAGTAGTGCACTATATAAGAAATAGGGTGTCATTTGGGACTTAGCTATTGGCTTATTGTTACAAGTCAGCAGGACGGCTGCCGTACAGTCATTTTACCAGACGAATTGCTGAATTGTTGACACGAGATTTGCTTGTGCTACATTTTCGAAAGAAAATGTAAAGGACTCGTCCACGCTTTGTTTGGCAAGGGACATCAACGGCCGAGCCAAGCGTGTATCTTGAAACCTTCGGCTCCAACAATGTGAACGTACCCCCTAGAGTCGATTTCCGCACCCCTGCAAAAAATAGAATTAGCATAATAAAAAATCCCCATAAAAATCAGTCAGTTTAAGCTACAGATATGTTATTTTGCATTGGATACGTCTCAATCCACCGCATCCGCCAATGTCACACTTCCTCCTCTGCAGTGAAAGGTGACAAAGCTAGAGCGATGTTTGTCAGACCATGAGACCTCCCTGGAAATCGGTCTTCTCACAAACTCGTCTCTAGTGTCCGAACAGTTTGGCCTACAAAAACTATTATGACCCGTCTATGGAAAGATGAGACCCACGAACAAGATGGTGTTCTCCGTTTTGCTCTACGACCCCCACAAGTGTCTTGGGACTCGTCTGAAGTCGGTACAGCCGATCTGCCAACTTCTGCCTGTAGCGTCCGAACAGTTTGGGCTACACACTAATATGGTGAGAATCTCACGAACACTCTCACGAACACAGGCCTCACAAGACTCGTCTGAAGGTCCCCCGTTACCAGTTGAAAAAAATGAATGGAAGTAGGTATGGAGACTGTGGAGACTGTTAGTGACAAAAATAAGGGGTTAAATACATGTAAAAAAAAATATATATGTTTCCTGATCTTTCTTATATCTCTCATTCTTATAACTTCCATTCGATATTTGGGGGGAACTATCTGTTTTTTTCCCCTCATCAATCTACACACACTACCCCATAATGACAAAGCAAAAACAGGTTTTTAGAAATGTTTGCAAATGTAAAACATTTTTTAAACTGATAAGTATTCAGACCCTTTACTCAGTACTTTGTTGAAGCAACGATTACAGCCTCGAGTCTTCTTGGGTATGACGCTACAAACTTGGCACACCTGTATTTGGGGAGTTTCTCCCATTCTTCTCTGCAGATCCTCTCAAGCTCTGTCAGGTTGGATGGGGAGCGTCGCTGCACAGCTATTTTCAGGTCTCTCCAGAGATGTTTGATCAGGTTCATGTCCGGGCTCTGGCTGGGCCACTCAAGGACATTCATAGACTTCCCTCCCAAAGCCACTCCTGCGTTGTCTTGGCTGTGTGCTTAGGGTCGTTGTCCTGTTGGAAGGTGAACCTTTGCCCCAGTCTGAGGTCCTGAGCACTCTGGAGCACGTTTTCATCAAGGATCTCTCTGTACTTTGCTCTGTTCATCTTTGCCTCGATCCTGACTAGTCTCCCAGTCCCTGCAGCTGAAAAACATCCCCACAGCATGATGCTGCCACCACGCTTCACCGTAGGGATGGTGCCTGGTTTCCTCCAGACGTGACGCTTGGCATTCAGGCCAAAGAGTTCAATCTTGGTTTCATCAGACCAGAGAATCTTGTTTCTCATGGTTTGAGAGTCCTTTAGATGCCTTTTGGCAAACTCCAAGCGGGCTGTCATGTGCCTTTTACTGAGGAGTGGCTTCCGTCTGGCCACTCTACCATAAAGGCCTGATTGTTGGAGTGCTGCAGAGATGGTTGTCCTTCTGGAAGGTTCTACAATCTCCACAGAGGATCTCTGGAGCTCTGTCAGAGTGACCATTGGGTTCTTGGTCACCTCCCTGACCAAGGCCCTTCTCCCCTGATTGCTCAGTTTGGCCGGGCAGCCAGCCAGTCTTGGTGGTTCCAAACTTCTTCCATTTATGAATGATGCAGGCCACTGTGTTCGTGGGCACCTCCAATGCTGCAGACATTTTTTGGTACCCTTCCCCAGATCTGTGCCTGGACACAATCCTGTCTCGGAGCTCTACGGACAATTCCTTCGACCTCATGGCTTGGTTTTTGTTCTGAAATGCACTGTCAACTGTGGGACCTTATATAGACAGGTGTGTCTTTCCAAATCATGTCCAATCAATTGAATTGACCACAGATGGACTCCAATCAAGTTGTAGAATCATCTCAAGGATGATCAATGGAAACAGGATGCATCTGAGCTCAATTTTGAGTCTCATAGCAAAGGGTCTGAATACTTATGTAAATAAGGTATCTGTTTTCTATTTGTAATACATTTGCTACAATTTCTAAAAACCTGTTTTCACTTTGCTATTATGGGGTATTGTGTGTAGATTGAGGAGGAAATTGTTTCATTTAATCCATTTTAAAATAAGGCTGTAACTTGTAGAACAAAATGTGGAAAAGGTCAAGGGGTCTGAATACTTTCCGAATGCACTGTATATTTTTTAGATACTTCAAGGGGTCTTAAAATTCTAAATCAAGTAGCTAAATTATCCTTGGTATGATCTTCTTTTTTTTAAATGCACATAGCTTAGTAGAACCCCCCCCCCCCCCCATTCTCCGGCTTAGACAGGGCTTAGTCTGTTATGGGCTAAGATTTGAACACACCCGTGTCTTTATAGGGAGGTCTCGGAGAAGGATGCCAAGGACTACGCTGACTCCATCCACGCCATCTTTGTGGAGACCAGCGCCAAGAACGCCATTAACATCAATGAGGTCTTTATAGAGATAAGTAAGTGTGTTTTTTCACGAGCTTTCAGTGGCATCCCATCTTTTGGGCCCAATTAATGCTTTGTGGGTTACCACGTTTATTACGAGTGGTGTACAATGGCTGAAGTTTATTTAGGTGTACCAAGCAATATTGTGTGAGCTTCTACTGCCGTTCCTATTTAACCAATGTTTTCTGGGTGTAACGTTGTTTTTTGTCCCCCTTGCACATTTTGTTCCCGCCTGCAGGTCAACGGATCCCTGTCCTAGATGCAGGGGGAGGGGCTGCAGGGAATGGCTTCAAACTGCGCCAGCGGCCCTCGGAGACCCGGACCCGGACCTGCTGCTGATGCTGCCAGTGAACCCTGACCTTAGTCCCACATTGACCCCTGACCCTTCTTTGCTTGCAGCCTCCATAATCCCCCCTAACCACATACCTGCGTCATAGAGGCCTGGGAGCTACAAATACCACTCCTCCATTGGGAACCCCCGACTACTACCGCCATTGCCTCCTGCATATAATGCTACACTGTAAAGAGAGGGCAGCCAAGCAAATTACAATTCACTGGGATATTTGACCATATCTCATCGTTCAATGCAGCTAACTTTGGCTTGGTTATTGTGTCGCTGTAGTCTTGTGTTCCCTATCCAGACCCCAAAAGGTTAACATGAAGTCCACAGCCTTTAAAGGTGCTGCATGGTCAATCTGACATCTGCATTGGCCGTGCAGCATTTACGGTGATATGGCCTCTGCAGAAGTCAGGGCATTTATACTTCTTGTGCTTCACAGAGCTGTTGTGAAGGAAGTGAGTTTGTGTTTATACAGGACCTACCGCCCTCACCTACCGTCAACCAATCATGTCACTGCGGAGTTATACGGAGCCCTCCGTATTGTTACAAAATTTGAGAGGTGCACGGAACTGTGGCTCGTCCAAGCCTATGGCACCCGATTCCTATATAGCTATGGGCTCTGGTCAAAAGTAGTGCGCCATATACACAGAGTGGACAAAACATTAAGAACACCTTCCTAATATTGAGTTGTCCCCTTTTGCCCTCAGAACAACCTCAATTCGTCGGGGCATGGACTCTACAAGGTGTCGAAGGTGTTCCACAGGGATGCTGGCCCATGTTGACTTCAATGCTTCCCACAGTTGTGTCAAGTTGGCTGGATGTCCTTTGAGTGGTGGACCATTCTTGATACACACGGGAAACTGTTTAGTGTGAAACTTGACACACTCAAACCGGTGCGCCTGGCACCTACTACTATACCCCGTTCAAAGGCACTTAAATCTTTTGTCTTGCCCATTCACCCTCTGAATGGCACACCACAGGTTGTTGGTGGCACCTTCATTGGGGAGGACAGGCTCGTGGTAATGACTGGAGCGGAATCAGTGGAATAGTATCAAACACGTGGTTTCCATGGTTTCCAGGTGTTTGATGCCATTCCATATGCTCCGTTCCGGCCATTGTTATGAGCCGTTCTCCCCTCAGCAGCCTCCACTGTGGCACACATATACAATGCATGTCTCAAGGCTTAAAAATCCTTCTTTAACCTGTGTCGTCCCCTTCATCTACGCTGATTGAAGTGGATTTAACAGGTGACATCAATAAGGGATCATAGCTTTCACCTGGATTCACCTAGTCAGTCTATGTCATGGAAAGAGTAGGTGTTCCTAATGTTTTGTACACTCAGAGTATAGGGAAATGGGGTGCCATTTGAGAGGAATCCTACGTCTCTTCTGTCCTTGAAGGTTTTCTGCGTGAAATGTCCTCATCGAGTGGTCCAAAGCCACAGCAGTTGCCACGGTTTGCCCAAGTTCTAAGAGCTCCCCTCCCTGCCTATTTTATATGTCTTGTAATACTTCTGAAAAGTTTCTGCTCTGATCTTGTAAACCTCTACACGGGTCCTGGCATCATTGGTTCTGCAGCATGCAGTGCTTCTTCTCTTGCAACAACCACGTGGTCTATTTTCCAACAGGAGACTATATGAATGTTCTATATGAATGTTCTATTTGAAGAGTTAAATTGTGCTAATGTAAAAGAGGTCACTGTTCGATTTTCTGTTTCATCCAAAATTTAAGATGGTTTCCCCAACTCTTAACCATTGTGATCCAGGTAGATGAGTCAGAGGTGCATGATGGGCAGTGTAGTTGTGTAGTCTGTGACCTATTAATAACCCTCACACAGTGCTTTGCAGCACAGGGCCAAGGCAGGTGTTTGCCAAACCGTTTGAGAAACAATAATGAAAATCCCTAATAGGAGTAATGGGCTCTTTTTTTTGTCATGTTGTTTCTCCATTACAACTTCAGTGCTCATCAATATCGTTGTCTCTCTCAGTGACTGCTTTAGCCTTGACACTTTGGAGGGAAAATCGGTTTGATAAGGGGGATGGCAACATGGCTGGTTGATGGTTGCCACCGAAAAGGAGTCATTTTATTGCTGTATTTTACATTGAGAGGCCTCGTCTCTTAAAGGGCCAGGCTGTTTGAGTGCTGACAAGACTGGCAGTCACCAAGTGTGCGATATGATAACTGCTCACGTTTTCCACATTTCCACTTTAATAGTTGATAAAATGAGCCAACGCTGGAATTCTGTAAATGAATTTCCCCAGAGTGCTTGGAGTATACTGCCAGCCCTTTTACAGTATTCATTGCGTTTCAATGTTTCTGAAATTAGTTTGTGTTAGTTGGCAACCCCGTCCGTCTGCGACCTCGCACCGTTTTACAGGAGAGATTTTGTGAGGTCCTGCCAATTCTTTATTCGTCCCATAAAATATTTTTCATCTTTCTTTTCTCAGTCTTTTACAGAATAAGCACTGGCTCGCACATCCAACATAGTTTTACTACCTGGCCAGAGATAAAAAGGGCCATATCTGGAAACTGGACTTGTTCTAAGAAGAACAAGACTACACTCTTCGAGCTTAGATCTTTTTAAAGAAAAGGTTAGGCGCAGAGAACCAGGCACAGCTTTCCATTGACGTGCTGACCCGCTAATGAACCGCGCTCTCTTTTCTGTTCCTAATGATGTGCTCTACTCCGGGGACCTGTCTCATTCGTTCCCCTTGCCCCTTCTTTCCGCCGCCGGCTGCCTTCCCTACGCTGTGAAGCAACCAATTAAGTAAAGCTTGAATATGGAGTGGAACTGGAACACCTTGTCCAAAAATACAAAGAGAAGCGATGAAGGAACACTGAGCAACGTGTTCACTCTGTCTTAAATTGCTCCTCTGTGTAGCATAGTAATGTAAAGTCTCATGTTAGTTCATGACCCATTGCTATTGCCATTTGACTTGACAATTTAGGGATAACTCCTAGCACAGAGCGTTCAATGTAATTGTTCCCCTTTCCTTTTGATATCCTCCTAGTGTCTTTCCCTCTTGCCAAAAACACGTGAATGGGCCACATTTAACAACAGTTGAAGACTGGCCCCGCCTGCCTCCAGTTGTAGACTGCCCCCCCCCCCCCCTGCCTCCAGTTGTAGACTGGCCCCCCTACCTCCAGTTGTAGACTGGCCCCCCTACCTCCAGTTGTAGACTGGCCCCCTGCCTCCAGTTGTAGACTGGCCCCCTGCCTCCAGTTGTAGACTGGCCCCCTGCCTCCAGTTGTAGACTGGCCCCCCTGCCTCCAGTTGTAGACTGGCCCCCCTGCCTCCAGTTGTAGACTGGCCCCCCTGCCTCCAGTTGTAGACTGGCCCCCCTGCCTCCAGTTGTAGACTGGTCCCCCCTGCCTCCAGTTGAAGACTGGAGACTGATGTGGAGGTGTGTTAGTAGCAGGGTTGACTGTATGTTCTTCAGGATTTTTTTTACAACCATGTCAGTGCAATAATTGTCTTTATGGCAAGGGTTACTAAAATGTGACAAACAAGAAATCTTAGGGATTGAGAAGATCTAGCTTCAAGTTTTATTGTCACATGCACAAGTACAGTGAAATGCTTGACTTGCACGCTCTACCCAACAGTGCAGTAATCAATATCAAAATAGTAGATTTCTTTTTTTAGATGTAAAGTATATACTGTACAAAAATAAACGCAACATGCAACAATTTCAACGATTTTACTGAGTTACAGTTCATATAAGGAAATCAGTCAATTTAAATAAATTCATTAGGCCCACCCACTTGGGAGCCAGGACCAACCAATCGGAATGAGTTTTTACGTCCTGGATGGCTGGGAGCTCACCCGCAGTGATGCGCTTGGCCGTCTGCACCACCCTCTGTAGGGCCTTCCGGTCGAGGGCGGTGTAGTTGCCATACCAGACGGTGAAACAACCAGTCAGGATGTTCTCGATGGTGCAGCTGTAAAAGTTCCTAAGGATCTGATGGGTCATGCCAAATCATTTCAGCCTCCTGAGGGAGAAAGGCACTGCTGTGCCTTCTTTACGACTGTATTGGTGTGAGAGGACCATGATAAGTCATCAGTGATGTAGACACAGAGGAACTTGAAGCTCTTGACCCTCTTCACTGCAGCCCTGTTGATGGGCCCCTGTTTCCTGTAGTCCACGATCAGCTCCTTGGTCTTGCTGACATTTAGGGAGAGGTTGTTGTGCTGGTACCACACTGCAAGGTCTCTGGCCTCCCTGTAGGCCAGGGTTTCCCAAACGCGGTCCTCGGGCCCCCAAGGGGTGCACGTTTTGGTTTGTGCCCTAGCACTACACAGCTGATTAAAATAATAAACTAATCCTCAAGCTTTGATCATTTGAATCAGCTGTGTAGTGTTAGGGCAAAAACCAAAACGTGCACCCCTTGGGGTCCCGAGGACCGAGTTTGGGAAACGCTGCTGTAGGCTGTCTTATTGCCATTGGTGATCAGGCAGATCACCGTCGTGTCGTCAGCAAACTTGATGATGGAGTTGGAGTCGTGCGTGGCCTCACAGTCGTGGGCGAGCAGTGAGTATAGGAGGGGGCTAAGCACACACCCTTGGGGGGCCCCTGTGTTGAGGGTCAGCTTGACGGATGTGTTGTTGCCTACCCTCACCACCTGGGGTCGGCCCGTCAGGAAGTCCAGGATCCAGTTGCAGAGGGAGTTGTTCAGTCCCAGGGTTCTGAGCTTGGTGACTAGATATAATATGCTTATATGTTAATTTTAGGTGTAATTGATTACATTTTGATCTTCTGATCATCAATTCTTCAAAAGGCCTTTAAAAATACAATGTTTATGGTTTTGTGGCGTTTAAGTGTTCCTCACTGATTTCCACTTGAAATTATATCGTAGTTAGCCAGGACAGTGCATTTATTAAAAAGGGAAATGTATTTCTGGTACTTTACAACTGCACTTTCAGATGAAATATTTGTATTGATTTGTGTAACCTTACCTTTTAGGTATATTATTGCTGATTATTTTGCCGCCATTGTAATTGC